TTATAAAAATGTAAAATATTATTAAAATATAAGTGTTTTGCAACATTTGTTAACGTTATTTAATGCAAAACATATATATTTACAAAGTATGAAGCAGAGTATTATTATTAAAACAAATATTCATTACGAGGGGCTGTTCACTGAAAATCCAATTGAACAATATTTGAGAATTCATTAAAGATTTTTAAGGATTGCTAGTCATTTTTGTAATTCCTATTTTGAAATTAAGGGAAATAGTGCTTTCATTTTATTTGAAGTAATTACTTGCAAGAGTAAGATTGCAAGAAAAATAGATTAATTGTATAATTCGCCGCCGAATTCGCTCGTATGTCTCCGTAACCATTCGTGACTCGCAACAATTCTTACTGCATGATTTAGAATTTTACTGGAATCGACGAGATTCGTTTGGATTCGCATAGTATTCGACAAATTCGAACGTCCTTTTCAATAATCGTCGGTAATCTCTAATTAAAATACAATATATTCAGAATCAAGAAATTTACATTTTCTTATGTTAATTGATGAATATTCGCACACTTGGCTTCAAGTAGATTTAGGTTTTGCAAAAATGGTGACGAAATCGGGAAGTGGCATGTTATTCCTCTTTATTTAAAGGTTTAAAAAACGTAAAGACCAAAATCTTAGCTGATCCTTTTCTCAAGTTATTGTCAAATTAAAATTTTTTTAACGAAATTTATAAAAGATAATAAGAGAATAATTATTGCACATTAGTTTAATTAAAAAATTTAATGTTTTAGTAACAATTAACTATCTTAAAAATAACAACGAAGATATTTTTCTTAATTATTTTAGTTTTAATTAACAAATTTAACACATTGGAATCATCGACAATTTTCTCAAAGGTGTTTTGAAGAGAACTCGATTACTGCTTTTTTGAATCGAATTAAATAGGTAGGATGGTCAATCAAATTAATTTTGTAACGCTCCCAAAACTTTAAAAATTCTCGGTGAATTGATTCACCAGCCTGTTCTGACCACAAACCTAAACCACGATTTCCTAAAAAACTCAAACTTTCTTGAATGTGTGATGTTTTTGCAAAACCTAAATCTACTTGAAGCCAAGTGTGCTTCGAGGTACGGAAGCTACCGAAACTTTAAAAATCCATGTCGCAGTATTACACATTCAAGAAAGTTTGAGTTTTTTAGGAAATCGTGGTTTAGGTTTGTGGTCAGAACAGGCTGGTGAATCAATTCACCGAGAATTTTTAATGTTCTGGGAGCGTTACAAAATTAATTTGATTGACCATCCTACCTATTTAATTCGATTCAAAAAAGCAGTAATCGAGTTCTCTTCAAAACACCTTTGAGAAAATTGTCGATGATTCCAATGTGTTAAATTTGTTAATTAAAACTAAAATAATTAAGAAAAATATCTTCGTTGTTATTTTTAAGATAGTTAATTGTTACTAAAACATTAAATTTTTTAATTAAACTAATGTGCAATAATTATTCTCTTATTATCTTTTATAAATTTCGTTAAAAAAATTTTAATTTGACAATAACTTGAGAAATGGATCAGCTAAGATTTTGGTCTTTACGTTTTTTAAACCTTTAAATAAAGAGGAATAACATGCCACTTCCTGATTTCGTCACCATTTTTGCAAAACCTAAATCTACTTGAAGCCAAGTGTGTTCGGAAGATACCTAGTATATTCTCTACATTACAAATCGGGTATTCGAGAGTGAACAGCCCCTCGATTCATTATTTAATAATAGGTGTCCCACTGTTTAACACAAACCTTGAAAACAAGAAAAATGTATCAAGTTCCAAAAACTTGAAATTTTTCTATTTAATCACAATATAATTTAAATAGAATATATGCATTATGTGGAAAAGAGTTCAAACTTTATGGTAATACCAAAAAGTGGACAAAAATATACAAAATTGAAAAAAAAGTGATCTTATGCCATTTTGAATTGTCTAGATAGAGAAACGCAATGTTAAACGAAGAAGTACTTATGTTATATTCCTTGGTGTAAGAAAGAAAGGTATGCGTTACCTATTCAGTTTTAGAATTTCTTTATAGTTTTTTCACGTGATAAAGGGAGAAAGAAATTATTACCTGGGTCCTCAGAGTTATTAATTAATCCTCTTTAAAAGATTGCAGGTCAAGCGAACCCTCATTTGCAAAATAAAGATATATCTTTCTCTCTCCATAACTTGTTCTTTTCTCTGTCACCGAAAACCCAGCAGGGGTCCGGACGGAATGAATGAATGAATGAATGAATACCAAGATTATTATAGTTAATTACTGAGAATTTATTTCTAATTCAAACATTCGAATTAATTAATATTAACCGTAATTAATGAATTCCGTCGAAAACTCATGTAGCCATTCTCCGATCAGTGTAAATAGAATATTTTTTGATTATTTACATTCAATTTTATTAATTTAGTTAATAAAAATATATTTTTAATTCAAAAATTCCTATGAATATTAATAATTTGAATAATTGAATAATTAATAATTGCAATATTAACTGAGTATTTATTCAATTAAATTAATATATTTATTTATTTATTCTAAATAATTAAATTAATAAAAGTGAATATAAATATTCAGTTAATATTGGAATTACACTGGAAACTGAATGGATTCCTTTAGATTCCACCGGAATTCGTTAATTATGGATAAAATTAATTAATGTTCATAGGAAATTTTGCATCAGAAATTAATTCTTATTAATTAAATTAAGAAAATATTAATATTAATAAATACGGATATAAATAATAAGTTAATATTGGAATTACACTGGAAACAGAATGGCTCCCTTCAGATTCTGTCTGATTTCGTATAATAAATTTCGGTTAAAATTAATTAATACAAAGTTTTGAAACGGAAATTATGTCTTATAAATTAAATTTTAAAAAATTAATATAAATAATCAGTTCATATTAAAATTACAGTGGAAACAGAATATTCTTGTTAATTAAATTAATAAAAGTGAATATAAATAATCAGTTAATATTGGATTTTTAATGAAAGGAGAATGGTTTCCTTGAGATTCCGTCGGAATTCGTTAATTACGGTTAAAATTAATTAATGTTCATAGGAACTTTTGGATTAGTAATGTTTTCTTATTAATTAAATTATTATTAAAATTAATATGATAAAATAATTCAATTGTCAAAAATCCCAAGGCTCTTATTCAATCACTGACTCGAGAACCCAAAGAATTTTCAAAAGGTTCCCAGTAGATTTCGTAAGAATTCTGTTTGTTAGCTGAAATCCTGCAGAATTATTTCCAGAATTCCGATGGAAACTCTTTTGGAAAATCTTGAAGGAGTAAAATAAACCTCATTAAATTAACTTTTGATATTATTCACCATTAATTTAATTCATTTCCTTTTTCTCTATAAACATATTTATATCTCGTTTGAATTAGTATTCCTCACTAATAGCACATTCTATCCTTGTACTGCAATTTGAAGCAACTAAACTATTTTCAACAAAGCGTTGATATTGTCGTTTTGCAGCCAAGCCCTTTAATAATCAAGGCAACTATAACCAGTGAGCTACTTAAGGAGGCTGGGAAGAAGGTAAGAGACTCGATTCCCATTGCATTAACGAGCGCGTGCGAAGGTGTTTGAATGGATGCTCCCCATAGTATTGTCTGAGAGCTCAGTTGAAACTCGAACTTGACATCTCCCATTGAATACAATATCGCGAATACTGTACAAATCCAAGGGACAATCATTGTCAACTGAATAATGAAAGTAATTTAATCCCTTTGTATATATATATATATGTGAGAATCGAGAAAAGACGAAGGGGAAGAAAAAAATCACGAAGGAGGCTTTTGTCCTTTAAGATATGTTTGCACATAAACTTGGCCTATGTTTACGATCACGGGAACACTCATCACTTGCCTCACTTGACATCAAGGAGTGGAAATTATTTTATAAAAGTCCGATCGTAACTTTCAAGAAACAGAAAAGGGAAGTGCGTGTCTCTGTCAGCATGTTGGGTATATTTATTCGTACATTTCATTACTAATTTTACATTTCTCAAGTTACTGGGAAATTCTCGTGTAGATAACGCCGACCTTTTTTATGTCGAAATTGTAATAATTGTTAAATAGCCAAATTAGTAATTAATTAAATATTCATATGAATTTTTGGATCAGAAAAATATTTATTATTAATTAAATTAATAGAAGTAAATATAAATAATTAGTAAATATTGAAATTACATCAAAAACGGAATAGCTCCCTTGAGATTCCGTCGGATTTCGTATAATTAATTTCGGTTTAAATTAATTAATATTAATAAGAATTTTTGAATTAGAAATATATTAAATATTATGGCGATTCCGTTGGAATTCTGGAAATAATTCTGCAGAATTTCTGCTAAAATCAGAATTCTTTCGAAATCTACAAGGGAGCCTTTTGGGAATTCTTTGGGTTCTCGAGTCAGTGATTAAATAAGAACCTTGGGATTTTCGACAATCGAATTATCTCATCATACTAATGACATGAAATAACTTTATTGTCACATTCACGTTTTTACGAATGTCAATATTTGTTACGGTTTTTTAAGATTGTTACAAGAGTCGGGTATCAGAATGATGAGTGACTCGTTTGTAAACTAACATTGATGGGAATCCTTTCAATACTATCCGCGCAAGTGAAAGTATTCATCATACCGATGAGTAAAAAGAAACAGTATTTTGCTCGGTATGCACAGTTTTCAAGGTCGAAACGTTTACGAGTTTACCAAGAGTATATATATATATATATACTAACGTATAATTACGTTTCTCTAGTGCATTGCACCAGATATACTGAGAATTACATTGTACTGAAATTCAATGCCGAAGGTTATTACAGAAACCAAAAATCATGATCATTTAAACAATTACGATTTTTACCTGTGTCATTTTCAAAGGAAGATGAAAAAAAAACTTAACCCTAATTATTGTAATTCTAATGGAATTTCAAAGATTTTAATTCTAGCCTTCGTGGTTTTTGATTGCAGTGAAGAGTAAAGTCAAATGTCAACACGAGTTGATGGAAGTGGACATTTTCAGGACGAGTCCACAAGCGAGGATATATCTTCATCATCTGAAAAATTATCCAGGTAAACTATTTCAATATCCCAAATAAGTGAAATTTTTTATTGCAAGCAAAGACCACCCGGAATTTTAGATTCTTTTTTTTTTGTAATCGTTTAGATGAATTTTATGAGACTAATGTCGAGCAACTTGCGCTTGAAGCTATTAATAAGTTTCTTTATGACTGCGCTTGGCAATTGTGATAATTACGTTGCATCCTGGTTACTAAGGCAGTCTTTGGACACCTGCTTTTCAGGTTACCATGTCAAGAAATTGAAATTTTTAAAATTTTAGTAATTTTTAATCGAAAGTTTTCCAGAAAAATAAAAAAAAATCCCCCAATAATTAATTTCAATTGTGAATTTTTTTGCGGTAATTTCACAACTAATGAGCGCACCTGGTAATGCAAGAAGTTAGTTTCTCCTGACATACGCGCACATAAAATACGAACAATTTTGCACCGAGAAACAAGACAATTTTAACTTCTTCTTCTTCTATTTTTTATTTATTTCGTTCTTTTTCCCAGATGAAGGATGCCAACCTCAAATAAAGAAAGGAATAGCAACGTTTAGATTATCCATTCTGGACCGAGACCTTTCCCGCTGTGGTATGACCCGTGTCCTCAATACAATGACGGTAAGAAAAACACGATTGATGCAACTAGCTTACATTCCATTTTCGGAATAAAGTAATCAAGAAGTGTAATTCACTCTGTAAAACAATCTGGCTAACCAATCACGATTACCGTTTTCTGCAGAGAGGGAGAGAGAAAGAGGAAATGTTTAGTACTGTAGTAATTACTACTTTCATATATTATTTTAACATATTTAAGTGTTATACAATTTAATGATAATAGAATTATAAATGGAAATCAATTTATTATCAAATACAATACAAATTTCAATTAGGGAAGCATCAGGTGTATTTAATATATAAGGTTAAATCCCAATTCAATAAGTAAATTAATTTATATTAATTAATTATTTATCAATATCATAATTATTAAATATCAATTTAATTAATCAATTTTAATTAACTAATTGTCAATATCAATATTATTAAATATCAATTAATAAGTAAATTAATTTGCATTAATTAATTAATTATTAATATCGTAATTATTAAATATCATTCAATAAGTAAATTAATTTGAATTAATTAATTATTTATATCGTAATTATTCAATATCATTCAATAAGTAAATTAATTTGAATCAAATAATTAATGAATTATCAATATCATTATTATTAAATATCATTCATTAAGTAAATTAATTTGAATTAATTAATTAATTAATTATCAGTCATTAAGTAAATTAATTTGAATTAATTAATTGTCAATATCGTAATTACTAAATATTGATCAATAAGAAAATTAATTTGAATTTAATTAAATTAATAAGGATAATTATTGAAGATGAGGAGATGTGGAAGAAAATGATTTAATTATACAATGATTATCGCTTAATTATTTGAATAGAAAATATACCTATTCTTATCAGTTAAACAGATTGTGCAGAAAATTAAAACAATATCATTAATTTATTTGTTAACTTAACAATTAATTTCGAAACGTGAGATTAAATAAATAAATGAAAAATTTCCACAGGGTCAAAAGGTGTACTATCATCAAATTGTTGTTGAAGAACCATCGGATTCTAGTAAACACATATTGAAGGTACAATGTGTAATAACTGAAGTGACCGTTCAGCCTGGAATTAATTTTGGCAATTACACATTAATTCCAACAAATCACACAGTCGTTCGTAGGAATGTGCTTCCAGCTGGATTTCAAGAGGAGGAGTAAGTGAATTTTAATTATTCATTAAATCATTATTAAAAAAAGAATAATTCCTTCCTTCTTGAAACAAAACAGATGGGATGGTTTTATCTTACAGCTTCTGAAAAGGAAGTATGCCGTCGTCGTTGTCGTTGTGTATTGTATCTCGAATTTGTATCTGTTGTTGTAGTTGCATCAGCTTATCTATTCCAATTGTTTATTTCTCCTTAGGGAAACTCATCGATGCGAGATAATCCATGTCCCCTTGAGAGCACTTGATTGATGGTACTACCAGTATCTTCCATCTATCAACAGCTTCTTGCTTGAAAATTATTTTCCTTTTTACATCTCACTTTATTTGCAATTGCAAGAATATATTTGGATTTACAAATTATCAATATGAAAAATTAATCTTTTAATCAATTGGTGAATATAAAATTGGAGGAAATGTGCATTGAAAATTCATCATTTTCTTTAACCTTGAAATTTTTGGATTCATTTGGAATTTTTAGACATTGTAATTTCCATATGTAGTAAAATCTGGTTTTATTTGCTTCTACAAGTTTTATGGATACGAACACTGTAATCGTATTACCAGGAAATGAGACACGTAACCATGCACTAGAAATAATAAATTGCATCCAAAGAAGGATTTGAAAATCGAAAAAGCTTATTCTAATTGTAATAATATACACATGAAATTGTTTTTCATAAAATCTTCCCGGAGATTCCGTTGGAATTCCCTTTCCTTTCTATCCCGAATTCTAGTATTAATAATAATTCTGTCATCAATTAAGGCTAAAATTAATTTAGGGATTTCATGAAAGGAAGGTTCTTCTAATTATTCCCTCTGGTATTTTAATTCCTTTTCTGAAAAAAACAAGAGTTCCCTGGAAATTCCTTTGGAATTACAAATAATGATTTTCGGCGTAATTCAGTAAGATTTCCGCCGGAAACCTTTTCTGTGAAAAACAGAATTCCATTAAAGAAATTGCGGCAAACCAAATTCAGAGTGGTTTTCTTAAATTTTACTGATTCCTCTAAAAATGTAACGCGTTGAGAACCACTCGACGACGCTGCTTAGAGACGATTCACTGTCATTGTGTGGTAAAAATTGGAATTCACTTAAAGCTCTTATAGGACAGCGACACCGTGGGTTTCTACTAGCCGGCATTATACGATTCGCCATCTCCATAAAGGTGGTTTCTTTTACTATACCCATGGGGAAGGTCGTTACGCACGAGAACGTGCGTTAACGAGCGCCGCATTTTCGAGAGAAAAAGAAAAGACAAAGAGTCCACACACGAGAGAGAATTGCACACGAGCCATATAGCTAAGCTTAACTGCAGCCGTAGAAGCAGCAGCAGCAATAAGTACATGCATTTCATTAATTAATTGAATAGATATATCACCGACGTTTATAATTTTTATAACTACCTTGTGTGTAATATCACGGGCAGTGCTCCCGCGCGAGATACGATTTGTTTGTTCGATTTTACAAACACTCCTCCATGCAACTACATTGGAAATTCTTTCATTTAAAGATATTTAATTAGAAATTGATCGATTTAAATTAATCGTACTTTAAACAGGTTTAAATTGAACGAATATTTACAATCCACTTAATATATATATATATGATTAAAGTGCATCATCCAATTACTGGTTTTCATGGAAGTCAAATTGTTCACATAACTCTTGACCTAAAAACAAGGATTTTTATTTGAAAAAGAAGACTGGAAATTGTAATTCTTTCCATAATCTCAAAATGAGAATCATCACGAAGGTATCATTTTGCATTGATGGACGAGCGCTCTTGGAGATTATGGTTGATGATATAAACAGTAAGGGACTAATAAAATAAACTATTACACAGTCGAGGCAGAACCAGATAAATAGCGAATGGAAGAAATGAGAGGCATCTCTATAGTTTGTCCTAATGAACAGCCTCCACTCGACCGAGAAAAACTATCAGCGAAAATATAAAAAAAAGCATCAGAAATAAAATCGCATTTTGAACAAATATAATGGTTTGGAAAAATTGGATACCACTGAAAAGTTAAACAGTAGTTATTTAAAATGAGTATTTGCATTTCTTAATTAACCAGTTAGGAGTCGTACTGCAAAAAATCGATTTTAATTAATATATCTACTTCTATTTATTAATACTGTTAATGCTATCTCTTCACGAACACCATTGGAAATTGCTTATCATAAGTTTGCACCGAGTAATCGTGATTATATTAAGTCTTCAATAAAAAATAACTAGTAACGTTTCCCCAGAAGAAAAATTTTACAAATTCCATTTACCAAAATTGTAGGTTCTTGGTCGGTGACTACAACCGCAAACTTCATTCCTCGCTTATTGGGTCCTAGGACCGTCACTGTCCTGCTTCCTGGCTTTTGGATCACTTTTCACAACCTTTGTTGCATTTTTTCTTCCTGGGTAAGACAATCCAGGTCGCGGATCTTCAGTGTGTCCCTTCGATCCACCTTCCCTTGGCTTTCAACTGCTTTGGTGACCTCCGCCAAATCGTAATTATTAAATATTAAACAATGAGTAAATTAATTTGAATTAATTAAAGAAGTAATTATCAATATCGTAATTATCATATATCAATCAATAAGTAAATTAATTTGAATTAATTAATTAATTATCAATATCGTATTTATTAAATATTAATCAATAAGAAAATTAATGTGAATTAATTAAATGAATAATTATCAATATCATAATTATTAAATATCAATAAATAAGTAAATTAATTTGAATTAATTAATTAGTTAATTATCAATATCATAATTATTAATTATCATAAATTTGATCATTTTTCGAAACCTTTTTTGCATTTTTTCTCCCTGGGTAAGACAATCCAGGTCGTGGATCTTCAGTGTGACCCTTCGATCCACCTTTCCTTGGCTTCCAACTGCTTTGGTGACCTCCGCGATAAATGCCTCCTTGTTGGAGTCCCCTGGTTATTTAATACTGATTTCCGATTAAATACAAACTGATCAGTTCGGATTAGTCCAGAAATTGTATGAAAGTAATTCGCATTAGTCTGGATGAAAAGATAAATCCGAAATTGACACAAAATAAATCCGCAATTAGCCTGCAACAATTTAATTTTACTTAGATCAAAAACTAATCAAAAATGATTCTAGAATAATTGAGAATTTTTATGTAAACTATTCGCAAACAGTACGCAACAATCCGGATTCACTAGTTACAGAAATTGATCAAATTTCGGATTTAGAAGAACTAATTCCGGATGAATAAAACCTGACTGTTTTGGAGTAATTCCAGATTAGTTAGGAACCAGTCAGGATTTTTTACTAGGAGGAGATCTTTTCCTACATTGTAGATCCACTCGTCGCTTTCTTCTTACTGGTTAGCTTAGGTTTCGGTACCAGCGTCTCCTTCGCAATCATTTTGACAAGGGGTCAAAAAAAATCTTCCGCATAACATATAGCGCCATCAAGGTTGCTATCTCCCTTATCAGCTAGAGCGTGCTTTGTCTTCGGCTCACTGACAAGATCCTGAAGAGTCTTAAGTTCGTCCTTAATAGTCATGTTGACATTCTTCTGGTTTGAAGACACTCAGCTTCCTTCTGCCTAACACTTGTCGTGTTCTTCTTCGACTGTCTCGTTGTCTAGGTCAGACGGAATCAAACTTCTTCCACTGCTGACGCTTGAAGGTCTTACTCTTCTACTTTCAATTCTTTCCAAGCGGACCTGGTGAACTTAAAGAAACTGTGTGTCTCCATCCTCCTTGTGGCATTGGACGCTACAGTCCCCAAAGTGTCCATAATTCTACAGAATTGTTGTCACGGTATTTCGTCCCTCACTTCCAAAAGCGCCGGAAATGGGGTAACCTTTTCTTTTCGTTTCTCTTTATCTCCCTACCTTACATCTTGATTTTTGGCTATCCTTTAGTGAAAAACCCCACCACCACAACAAACTCTACCAAGAATTTACAAAAAATTAAAAGAAAAAAAAATCCAACAGTATCTGCATAGAAGGAAGAGATATTCTAATCATAAGGCTAGTTATGAATTCAAAATATGTTGGCTCTGTCAGAAGCATATGTGAATTCAAAACTAATGCCCCTTATCTCAGGAACGCAACTTGTCGTAACTGAAATTGCGATATGTGGCTCGCGAAGAGTTAGGAGAGCTTGAGACTAAGCATACGTAAGTTACTCTCGCCTCCCTAAGTGCATCCTCTAGTTACGCCATTAGTTACAAAGTAATCTCCTTTACCTCTCTCCCTCGCCACAGACGCACACGAAATATGGCCTAAGGATTCTTTAAAATATTCTGGTTTAATCGTGACTTCTTTCTCTCTCTCTCTCTCAGCAAACTATACACAGCTGGGGCTCTATGGCGTGCAATGTAAATTGTCGGACGTGATGTGAAACCGGTTCGAAATTGACGGACACTCCAAAAGGAATAATTCGTAGACAATTTCTTCTTCTTCTTCCGAATACACTTTTGTTTTTTATTTGTATACATCACAAAAGTTAAAAGAACTGTGTGTGCATTCCAGTAGTGAACAGTTACAATATTATGATTAGTGGAAAAACCAGTCTGCGAGGCGCGCGCCCTCCACCAAGATAGTTAATTTAATTAACCTAATGACTTACCGGTTTTTCATTTCAAAAACCGCCTTGTAAATGAAATCCTTTTAAAGAATATTATTTTGTGATTGGTATCAATCGAAATTGTACTTGTATATTGTGATGAGATTCTGTGATTCTTGATGCCAGTGTATAGCATAATTTAATTCCTCTTTTCTGTTTCGATTTCCGATTCTTCTATTACGCGACTCGATTGGGAAAGAGAATCAAAAAAAAAAAAAGAAAATAAAAAAATGTCCCGAGACACAAGTAAATACGATAGATTGCGAATAGAGATCGAGAAGTAGAGACCACCGCCAGTTCGATCAAAGACAACGCCGCTCAACTCTTGCTCAACCATCTATTCAATGTAGAGAGACATTATCGTTTTTTCACAAGTGATTGCGACGCTTCTATTCTATAAAGTTTCAGAGCTCGAATACTAATCTCACTAGCGACTGATTAATGAATTGAACAATAATTCTTGATTGATATATTAACAGCATTAATAGAATTTGATTATGTAATAGAATTTCCTGTATGATTTTTTTTTATTCCGTGTCGACAATACTGAAAAACTTAGGATAAAAATTCACAAAAAAAAAATTGCTGAATGAAAAAATTAGTTTTTATAGATTTTTTTGGTTTAAATTTATTTTTAGCTTGAAAAATACAATTCTTATTCAATTTTATTATTTGAAAATTTATTTGTTTATTTTTCTAATTTCAAATCGTAATTTTTATAATAAACGATGATAATTACGATAATTACGAATGAATTTCTAAATCTACAAATTTTTAAAAAAAATTCAAAAAGTGTCAAAATATTTTCTAACATATTTCTATTTTACGACCATTCAATTCCTCTAAAAAATTTACTATAAAAACAATTTTATGGAATAGTTTGAAATTTGTTACTCAAAGATTTTTGGGGTCTCTGATTACTCAGATAATTTTCTAAAGATTCTAATGACAAATTCGTAATCAGTGACCTGAATAACCCCCATGTAATAAGTTTGAAGCAAATTGGATGGATTTTTTAAAAAGTCGTCCGCCATATTGAATCCGCCATTTTGAATTTTGAAAAACTAACATCGGATTCGTAATCAACGACCACCAAAAACCTTCGAGTAATAAATTTCAAGCAAATTGGATGGATTTTTTTAAATGTCGTCGGCCATATTGGATCCGCCATTTTGAATTTTGAAAAACTAACATCGGATTCGTAATCAGCGACTCCAAAAACTCCCGAGTAATGAGTTTAAAGCAAATTTGACACATTTTTAATAAAAAGAAAAAATAAATAATAATAAATATTATCGAACAAAATTATTATTAAACTTAGTAACAGAAAATAAAAAAAAAGTGATAAATGAAGAATTGCAACCGCAAGTTTTTAAAAATAAATTATTTTGTCACGTATCATAAAACTGTATAGTCGATTAGTTTTCGTTTGTATTTATTATTTAGCGTCAAAAAAAAAATATTGTTACAATCATATTTTTTATTGCAATTTTTTTTTTTTTAAATACAATTCTCACGATATTATTTGTAGACAAATTGAACGACATTGCATGCCACAATTTATTTTTGCACAAGGAAAACTAAATATATAATAAAATCGATCATTTCCGGCGGTAGTTTATACTTTTGATGTACATTTTTCTTTCTTATATATATATACATTCACTTTCATTCGCAGATTTACTGTAACTTCTGCTTGACTTTTTCTTAAGTCTCATCCGTACTTTTTTCCTTTCTCGTTTTTTTTTTAATTCCACTTGCATTTATACTTACTTTTTTTTTGTTTTATTAAGTTACTGCGCTAACTTGTCTTGAAACGTTTTATTTTCTTTTGTTGTTTTTTTTTCTGTTCCTGAATGATTTTTATTTCTCTTTTCTCCGTTCATTATTTCTAACGTTTTTTTTACGCTTTGATACTCCTGTTTATTTTCAGATTTACTGTTGTTTCAATGAACTTGTAATGGAACATTGATATATTCTATTTTTACTAAAAAAACCAAAAATTTCAAATTACGTTAAAAAAAACCGCCAAAAAAATACTTGAGAAAGATAATTTTTGAATTTAAAAAGTTTGAAATAATTGAAATATATCAAGCTTTGTTTTAAATGATTATTATTCAGTAAAGTGTCAACAGGGATATCACCCCATGGTTCTGATCTCGGCTAAGTTCGGTCGGTAAATTACCAACAGTCGATAAGGTAGGATTACCGACGGATAGCAATGTAGATTTTCCAACAGTCGGTAAGGTGGAAATATCATCGGTCGGTAATATAGATTTTCCAACTGTCGGTAAGATAGGATTAATAACAGTCGGTAAAACAGATTTACCAACGTTCGGTAGTGTAGATTTACCAAGGTTCTTTTAAAGCATCTTTCAGAAAAATGAAGTGGCCCACTGTTGCCCACTCTCCCTTCATTACAAAAAATACAAAAAAAAATTTTAATTCAACTAAAGTAACAAATAAGTAATTTAATAATTACAATTTTACAATATTATATAAAAAAACAAAAAAAGCCGAATAACGTACGGAATTCAAGTTGAAAACTAATTATAACGATACATAAAGGGTAAAAGTATGTCAGTGACAGAAAATTTCACATAAGAAAATAATTGTAGAACTTAATAAAACTTGTAGGTACAGTAATTGTCATTTATTGAAAGGATTCCTTTCAAATTACATATCTATAAAATACAGATTTAAAATTTTTATATCTTAATATTTTCTCGCAAATCTATATAAAACAAAATTATCTTTTATGTGATTTTAAAAATTCAATAAAAAAAAGAAAATAAATAATTTTTATTTTCTTTATTCTTTTAGACACATTACTGATGCAGCTTCAATAACACAATCAGCGCCATCTCCCGAATTAGGAATTGGCGTCCGACAAAACGGTGTATTAGTGACTGGTGAATTAAGTGTCAGTCCTGGTACTCCTCTTCAAATGGAAATTTATCTTAAACCTGATTCAGCACCAACCTACGGCCTTTTAGTGACTCATATGCAAGTCAGGGACAAAATTGATAACGCCACTCAAGAGGAGGCAATTATCTTCAATGGGTAAGTGTTCAATGTAAATTTTACAAAATTCTATAAAATCAGTTACAAATGCAAAATTTAAAATTGAAATATCAAGGAATAATAGATTTTTTCATTCTGAATTTTTTTTTTCAATTTCAATTTTTAGGGCCTTAATTATTTTTGATGATTTAAATTTTATTTTCATTATATACTGATTCTACAGAATTAGTTTAACTAGGTGGGGAAAAAAAATGTTGTTTCAAAATTAATGGGAAATTTGATTTTTTTAATAAATTTCTTTTCATTGTTGTCATAATGGTTTAGAGCTAATTGGATCAAATTTTTTAAAAAATACGCCATATTGAATCCGACATTTTGAATTTTTAAAAACTGACTACAAATTCGAAATCAGCGATCTCAAAAACCCCCGAGTATCAAATTTCAAGCAAATTCGATCAATTAAAAAAAATATCCGCCATATTGGACCCGACATTTTGCATTTTGAAAAACTGACTTCAAATTCGTAATCAGAGACCCCAAAAACCTCCAAGTAACGAGTTTCAAGCAGATTTGAGCAATTTAAAAAAAAATTTCGCTATATTCGATCCGCCATTTTTAATTTTGAAAAACTGACATCAGATTCATAATCAGCGACCCCAAAAACCCCCGACGAGTAAGTTTGAAGCGAATCCAAACAATTTTTAAAAAAGTCTTCCGCCATATTGGATTCACCATTTAAAATTTTTTAAAACAACCAGCGGATTTGCAATCAGCGACCCCAAAAACCTCCAAGTAATAAGTTTAAAACAAATTTGACACATTTTCAATAAAAATTCCGCAATATTGGATCAGCCATTTTTAATTTTCAAAAATTGACATCGAAATCGTATTCACAAACTCAAAAAACCTCTGAGTGACGAATTTTAAGAAAATTGGATCAAATAAAAGAAATCCGCTTTATTGGATTTGCCATTTTGAAATTTTGTACCCTGACACCAGTAATACTATGATGTCATAATTACAAAATTCAAAATGGCGTATCCAATGTGGCGGGCGAATTTTGAAAAAATTTGTAGAGTTTAATAAAAATGGGTATTTGGAGTTTTTTAGGATCGCTGGTTACGAATTTGATGTCTGAATTCCAAAATTCAAAATGACGGATGCAATATGGCGGGCTAATTTAAAAAAAAATTATATTTTTATGAAACTTAGTATCCAGTGATTTTTTGGGTCGTTGATTACGAATTTGATGTCAGAATTACAAAATTCAAAATGACGGTCGAATTTTGAAAAATTGTACAATTTCTGTGAAACTTAGTATCCAGGCATTTTTTAAAGTCGCTGATTCCAAATTTGATGACAGAATTTTTAAATTCAAAATAACAAATTCAATATGAAGGATGAGTCTTTTAAAAAAAAATTGTTCGATTTCTATTAAACTTAGTGTCCTGAGGATATTCTTAAGATATCTTAGAGATATCATAAGGATATCCTAGGGATCATCTATAGGGATATCCAGATAACATTTTTATAAAGTCCCCTTGACATCAACATATAATCCTTCGCGTGTCCTCAGGACATCACAGGATATTTTTAGGATATCCTAGGATATCTGGTAATGTAAGGGTTTATATTTTATAATTTTCTTTAGTCCCTCAGAGCACCGGATATTTAAAGATATAACAGGGACATCCTAATGATATATATATATATACTAGAGGGGCTACGCCCCCCTGCGCGCTTCGCGCGCCAACCCCCCTATTTTAATCATTTTTTTTTTAATTTTCCATTGATCTTATTTTTCCAAATGAACCACCTATTTCAAAACATTACTATTACAAATTCATTGATATCTGAATAAATATTATTAAAATTATTAAATTTTAATTAATAAATTAATTAAATTAATAATAAATAAATAATTAAATAAATTAAAATCGACATTAAGAAATTATTTTCAAAAATAATTTCAGTGAAATTGCCTAACAACCAATAAATCATTAAAAAATCTTGAAACGAACATAACCTTTAAATTCAAGTCATTTTTGACGGAAACTTCATCTTCACTTGCGGCTATATTGAAAGTCTTGTATTAACATAACCTTAAAATTTATGGCATTTTTGGCGGGAAATACAGAGAGAGATGAGGGAAGGGGGAAGGACTTACTGCTTTATTTAGAGTCTCAAAACAAACATAACCTCAAAATTTAGGTCATTTTTGACCGAGGAGGGAAATGAGAGGAAGGGGGGGACTTGCGGCTATATTCAGAGCCTTGAAACGAACATAACCTCAAAATTTAGGTCATTTCTGGCGGGGGAGGGGGGGGGAATTGCGGCTATATTCAGAGTCTTGAAACGAACATAACCTCAAAATTTAGGTCATTTCTGGCGGGGGAGGGGGGGGGAATTGCGGCTATATTCAGAGTCTTGAAACGAACATAACCTCAAAATTTAGGTCATTTTTGGCGGAGGGGGGAAATGAGAGGAGGGAGGGGGGACTTGCGGCTATATTCAGAGCCTTGAAACGAACATAACCTCAAAATTTAGGTCATTTCTAGCGGCGGAGGGGAGGGGACTTGCGGCTATATTCAGAGTCTTGAAACGAACATAACCTCAAAATTTAGGAGGGAGGACTCCCCCCTCCTAGGTCAAGAATTCTTGAAACAGCGGCGGCGGCGGAGGCGGCGGCGATATCTTTTTGTAATATAGGAAGATATATATATATATATATATTTGATTCCGAAGGTTTGTACATCCATATGATATCATCTGGATATTCAAACTATTGGAAACGAATATATATACATAGGATGTCCCAGGAATATCCTTAAATATTCTATGCTGTGAGGGGTACTATTACAATTTTAATGGACACATTTGCTTGCGGTAGTTTGGATATCCATTTGTTTTGGGCAGTTTGGATTCCACTGGTATAGACTTTGGATATCCTAGGACATTCTTAGGATATCAATTTGTTTGCGGAAATTTGGATATCCCTAGGATATCCTGGGACATCTTTAAGATATCCTACGGTTGTACAAACCACCGGAAGAAAATGGATATCCCAGGAATAGCCTTAAATACCCCGTGCTGTAAGGATTTTCTTTGCTGTAATTGATAAATTAATATTTTTTCATTAATATTTTTCAGCTGTTCAGTGGATCCATATCTTTTTGAAAACTTCAATACAATTGATGGTGATTTCTTAACGGCCAAATTTCGTGCATTCAAATTTCCCGACAGCAACTACGTGCAATTCCGCGGTACCGTTAATGTGTGCCTGGACAAATGTGACGGGGTAAGAAACCATTCAATATATCGTTTTAACACACACACACACATATACACAGACTCATTAATATTCAATGCCGTTTTCCATATAGTCGTTGTTTACCCAATAAGTAACGCGCGACTTCCTGAAACATGTGCGAGAGAGAAATGAGTTTTTTTTTTGTCGAAAAACAAATGAAATAATTTTTTTTTTCTCCAGTTCTCTCGACAAGTTGAGTAGAAAATAAATAAAATAATTTTTTTTATGTTTCTTCTTTCTACGTAGGTTGAATGCAGTAATGGTCAAATTGGTTACGGAAGAAGAAAAAGACGTTCGGTAAAATCGTCAAAAACACAAAATCAATTGTACGAAGTGACAATGTCAACATTTGTAAAAGTTGGCGAGGATAGTGTGGAATATTCGGAATTTATTGTTAAGGGACGTAGTAATAATAATCGAACTGAAGAGGAACAACCAGTCATTACTGAAGAGGTTAGGGAAAAATTTCAATACAAAGTCTCAGAGATGACAACTAATGGCTCGAGAATGGAAAATATGATAAATCTTACATTTGTTCTCGTTTGTCTTTATTCGATTTTGTTAATATAGAAATAATGAAAAAAAACACACATCAATCCCAATAGCATCCGGATATTCAGGATATCCGAGGATATCCCAAAGACGTCCTAGAGATATCTTAATTTCAGGATGTCTAGGATGTTCGTGGGATAACATGAAATATCCGTTGCTATTAGGAAAAACTAAGAATAATATAAGTGGGACGTTGTTGATTTAAAAAAAAATTAAAAATGTGTCTGCGAGGGATATAGAAAAAACTGTAAGAGTTAAATCACATAAAAAGAGAGTGCATTGTCAAATTTTGTAACAACCTCTACAGCATGGGATATTTAAGGATATCCCTAAGACATCATCAGGATATCCATTTACTTGCGGCAGTTTGGATATCCCTAGGATATATTTAGGATATCCTAGGACATCCTCAAGATATCTATTTGATGGTGGCAGTTTGAATATCCCCAGAATATACTTAGGATATCTAAGGACATCCTCGGGATATCCAAACCGCCAAAAAACAAGTGGATATCTTCATGATGTCTTAGGGATATCCTACAATATCCGGTGCTGTGAGTAAATTCTAACAACATCGGGATATTCCTGATGTTATCCCAGGGATATCCTAAAATATCCAATGGTGTGAGGGGCGAATCTGTGATTTAATTCTTACTTTCTCACTAGGCTCACGATAATATTACAATATTTAGAAAATTCTTAAACAATATATGAACGTCCTACGAAATTAAGCCTCTTATGTGATACTAAAACTTTAAAAGCCAACAATTTTTTTTTCTAGCGAATCGATTTTTCCCCATATCCATTATCTCAAAGCACCGGATATTTGAGAATATCCAACGGACGTCCTTGGGATATCCATTGGCTTACGGTGGTTAGGATATCCGTCGAATGTCCCAGTGACATGCTACGGGTAACTAAACCGCTAAAGACTGTTGGATGTCTCTTTGATATCCACAAGATATCCTGAAATATCCACTGCTGTAAGGGTTTATTTAATGATTGATATAGGGAAAATTCGAATTTTTTTTTCACCATGTCGCGATTGCCAAAAATTTTCGTACATGAAAAAAAGGAACGAAAAAAAACCCAAACAACAATGGATATTTTAGGATATCTTATTGGCGTCTTAGGGATATTAGAAAATTAGGAAATCTGCAGGACGTCTTCAGAAGATCCACGGATATCTCTAGGGCGTCAGTAGGATATTCCGAATATCCGAATGCTGTTAGGGTTTTTGGCCTCTGCGAGAATGGAGAAAACCTAGTCGTAATATCAGGCGACTTAAATTTAACGTAAAATTTACGTAAAATGATGCCGTTAAAATTTAACTCAACAAGAACAAAACAGGGTATTAAAAAATATTTATCTCACAGCGCCGGATATTTAAGGATATACCTGGGACATCCTAAGAATGTCTAGTTTCTTTTGGCGGTTTGGATATCCTTAGGATATTTTAAGGATTTCACAGAGATATCCAAACTTCCACAAGCAAATGAATATCCTGAGGATGTTCTAAAGATATCCTTAATTATCCGGTGATGTGTACGTCTCTATGCAAATTTAATATTTTAATCCCCAAAAGCATCCGGATATCCCAGATATCCTATGGACGTTCTATGAATATCATTTGGTCGGAAAAATTATAATATCTCTATGATTTTCAAAGGATAACCGAGGGATATCCTAATTTTCCCGTAACATATGATAACCCCAGGATGTCCGTAGGTTAAATTTAAATATCCGCATACTATAATGGATATTATCCCAACTAAAAATGTAAGGGGAATTAAGTAAAGAAAAAATTATTTAAAATTTACAAAACAATTTGATTAAAATTTCTTAGAATATCTTGTTTTCTTCTTGAACGACATTAACCTGTAAAGTAACTCGACTTACTCGCATAAGTATATAGACGAAGCGCCGATATGGATTCGCTCAATTACTTGTAATAATTCCATCGTAATTTGTATATATGTTATAATTTCGCTTAGATTATTTAAATTTTAGAAATAAATTATAAACGTCGAATAGTATACATAAAAAATTTCTTTATAACAGAAATATTCGGGATATTCCTGGGAAGTCTCAGGGATATCTTTTGACTTTTAGCGATTTGGATATCCTAGGTATATCCATTAATATCAGTAGGATATCTCTAGGATATCCAATGCGCCAATAATCAAAAGATATCCCAGAGACGTTCCAGCGATATCCTATGGATATCAATAGACGTTAGGATATTCTTAGGATATCTAAACCTATATCTTTTAACTTTTGGATATCCCAGTGATATTCTATTGATGTCAATGGATATCCCTAAGATATTTAAACCGATGCTTTTGACCGGTTTGAATATCCCTAGGACATCCTTTGATATCCCTAGGATATCTAAACCGTCAAAAATAAAAAAAATCCATAAGATATCCTGGGAATATCCTGAAAATTACTGTGTTATAAAGATTGCAATAGAAATGAGATTTCTAACGAATTTACGAAATATATAATATGTTCCAAAAAAATAAATCGAAGCTTGTGCTTCTGATCACTCGAGAGAACATCAAAGATATTTTGCATATTTATAATATTGCTTGTAAACGTAATTATAAGGGCAAAAATAAAAGCAAAAAAAAAGAGAAACTACTGTCTTCCGTTATAAAAAATGTATATTTCTGGAATGTTTCCAACATCGAGTAAAAAAACAAATATATATAAATCTTTGTCCAAACATGTAACAAAGTAACAGGCGTCGCACTTATAGATGCGAAAAAAATATATAAAAATTATATATTATTATTATTATTATTAAAAAAATAATATTTCATTTTGTTCTTATTATTTACATTCTAAAAATGCCAAATTTCGTGTCTGGTATTGGAGCGTTGAGAGCGGCGGAGAGACTTAGTGCCAAAACTGTTCTTGTATCCACTGGATCAATCACTCCATCATCCCAGAGTCTAAAAAAATTATTTTATTATTCGCGTAACAAAGAGGATATTCATGATATCCTTGGGATGTTTTAGGAATATCCATTCGCTTCCGGCGGTTTGGATATTCTATGGATATCCAGATGATATTCTAGGATATCTTGGGGATGTCCAAACCGCCGGAATCAAATAAATATCTAGTGCTGTGAGGGTTAAATAATTCTAATAACATCCGGATGTTCAGGATGTCTTACGAACATCCTAAGAATATTATTTTGTCAATGGAAATTAGGATATCCTTAGGATTTCCGTAGAACATCCACGGATATCACTAGGACATTTTGAAGGATATTCTAATTTCCCGAGACAAAATGATATTCGTAGGACGTCCATGGGATATCCTGAAGTATCTTTCGCACGTAATAGAAGTATTCGGAAATTAGAATATCCCGAGAATTTTTTAAGAACATCCAGGGATATTCTTGAAGCATCTTAAGAATAAAGTATTAAAAAATTATTACCTTGCACTAGAGTAATAAGGACTACTTTCTTCCTCGAATTTTTGAATAATTGGAAGTTTAATAGCGTCTTCTTCCTCCTGTGTCCACTGTAAAAAAAATACAATATTTTTTACATGACGTGGTGAATCACCTGAATTTTTCATTTTGGAATATCGTAGAGATATTACAAGGACATCCATAGATAACTATAGGATATCTCTAAGATATCCAAACATCAACTAATATTACAGGATTTCCTATGGATGCTCTAGGAATATCATTCGGTCCGGAGAAATTAGGATATCCCTGAGATGTCCTACATAAATCCTAGGAATATCATCTGATAACACAGGGATATTACCTCACATCACCGGATATTTGAAGATATTCTTGAGACATCCGAGGGATATTCATTTGTTTCCGGTGGTTTGGACGTCCCTTGGATACCATGAGGATGTCCCACGATATCCTAATTATATCCCAGCGATGTCCAAACTACTGCAAGCAAATAGATATCCTGAGGATATACCAAGAATATCCTTAAATATCCTGTTCTGTGAGGATTCAGGATATTCCTGAGACATCCTAGGGATATCTTTTGATGTTTGATGGTTTGTTATCCTAGGGATATCCCAGAGACATCCATGAATATCCATAGAATATCCAACCATCAAATGTTAAAGGATATTTCTAGGACTTCCCATGGATATCTTGAATATCCCTGTATAATTAGGGACCTAATTTCCCCGGACAAAAAAATATTTCAAGAACGTCCGTAGGAGATACTAAATATCTGGATGCTGTTATTATTATTATTAATATTATCGCACCTCTTTTCCCTCTCTGAGCCGTTGATCCTTTTTAACCTGAACCAAAACTCCCGCAGCTTGTTCACCACCCATCACTGCAATTTTTGCATTTGGCCAACAATAAAGAAATCTCGGTGAATACGATCTCCCGCACATTCCATAATTACCAGCTCCATACGATCCACCAATAATAACAGTAATTTTTGGAACTTGAGCGCAAGCAACTGCTGTCACCATTTTTGCTCCATTTTTTGCTATTCCACCAATTTCAGCGTCACGACCCACCATAAAACCTATGGAGACATTTCACGAATAACGTCACACATCACATTGAAGAAAAAATATTTACGAAAGAGACACACAGAGAGTGCAAGTGAGATAAAAAAAAATAATTTCCCCTTACCGGTTATGTTCTGCAAGAAAATAAGTGGAATTTTTCTTTGTGCACAAAGTTCAACAAAATGTGCACCTTTAAGTGCACTCTCTGAAAAGAGTACACCATTATTAGCGACAAATCCCACTTGATAGCCATGAATTCTTGCAAATCCAGTGACCAATGTCTGACCATATTCCGATTTAAATTCATGAAATTCAGATGCGTCAACAATTCTTGCAATTACTTCTTTAACATCAAATGGACGTTTAAGATTAGCGCCAACAATACCATAAATCTCATCCACATTGTGTAATGGTAATTCAATATTTTGTTCTGGTTTTAGTGAAATATTTCCCTCACGATTTAAATTCTTTACAATTCGACGTGCAAGATGAAGTGCATGAGTGTCATCAACTGCCAAATGATCCGTTACCCCTGAGTTTCTGTTGAGAAAAAATATTGTTAAATTAGGTTCTTGGAATTAAATTTCAAGCAAAAAAACAAAAATAAAATCATGTTTACCCCCACAGCATCGGATATTTCAGGATATCCTTGGAACATCCTTAAAATATCGGTTTGCTTGCGGCATGTTGGATAAAGATAGCCTAAGGATATTCTAGGATATTCAAATATATCTTTATGTTATCCTAGGATATCATCGGCGAAAGCAAATGGATATCAATAGAATGTTTCTGGGATATCCTCAAATATCCAGTGCTGTAAGGGTACTTGCACACTCTACCCTTACAGCATTCGGATATTAAGAATGTCCCACTGACAATGTAGAGCATAATCCATTCCAGGACAGGATATTTAAGGATATCCCTGAGACATCCTGTAAATATCAATTTGCTTCCGGCTGTTGGATATCCCTAGGATATCCAGGTGATTTCCTAGAACCTCCCCAGGATATCATAGGGATATCCAAACCGCCTAAATTAAATAGATATCCCTAGGATGTCCTAGAAATATCCTTAAATATCCAGTGCTGTGAGGGTTTTTTTAAACATTCAAGGGGGATATCATTTGCTCTGAAGAAATTAGAATATTTATTTGATGTTCCAAGGAAAATCATAGATGTTCTAAGGATATCCCTAGGATGTCCCAGGGATATCCGTGGATGTGTTATAGAAATCCGAGGGATATTCTAATTTCCATAGAATCAAATCCTAACAACGACCACTTATAACATAAAGATACACCATATATCCCTAGGACATCCTATTCATGTATTTTGACGACATTATTTATATCCTACGGACGTCCGAGGGATATCCATAAGCTTTTGGCAGTTTGGATATCCATTGATATCCATCCCTAAAAGCAACGGATATTTCCTGATATCCTACGGACGTCCTAGACCTATCCGGAAATTATGATGTCTGTAGGACATCCTCCGGATATATATATAGATATCCTGAGGATATCCTACGTCTATCCAAACCGCCAAAATTTGTTAGACGTCCCTAGGATATCCGCAGGATATCATGAAACATCCGGTGCTGTGAAGGGAAATGGTAGGTTCAAAATTTAAATATCACTAGTTTGTCCCAATGATGTTCGAGGACGTCCTACGGATATCCTAAGCATATTATAATATCTCCAAAATATATCCTTACAACAACGAACATTTCAGGATATCGTACGGACGTTTTATCAGAAAATTAGGATATCTGTAAACCGTTTTTAGGATAATCTTATGGATATTTTAATTTTTTGATATCCCTAGGATGAGCCGTACGATATCCTGAATATCCGCGTGTATCTTTATATCCTGAATCTCTTAATGCTGTTAGGGAGTGATATCCCTTTCCTCATGTGTTGTGATGGTTAGAATATATCGAAATAACCGTCTCTCATAACACAGAGTGATATTCAGGATATCCTTTCGACGTTTTAGAAATATTTTTCGACTTTTAGCGATATGATTATCATAAGGAACTTTCATTAATATCCATTCTTAATAACAATAGATATTTTAGGATATCCTATATCGTCCTAGGCATATTTGGAAATTAAAATACATCCTAGGGATATCTATTTAATTCCGGCGGATATCCATAAAGCGTCCTAGTGATATCCGTGGATGTTCTACGGAAATCCTTGAGATATCCTAATTTCCACGGACAAAATGATATCCTTAGGACGTTCGTAGAACATCCTGAATATCCGGATGTTATTAAGACTATTTTAACCCTCACAGCACCGGATATTTGATGATATTTAAATATCCGGTACCGTGAGGAATATCTATAAGACGTTTTCACAATATCTTAGGGACATCCTGTGAATATCCTAATTTCCGGATATCTTTAGGACGGCTGTAGGATATCCTGATTATTCGCATTTTGTTATAAATAGGATATCCATGTGATATCCAAACCACAGAAAGTCAAAAGATATCTGTAGGTTATCCCCAATATCCCTGTATAATGAGGAGTTAATGTGTGGGTTTTTCTCTTTTTATTACTGTACCGACAATGAAGTGATGCTCCACCTAAATCCTCGGCTGTTACTTCTTCTCCGGTCGATGCCTTAACGAGAGGTGGACCAGCAAGAAAAATTGTTCCCTGCCTATCGACAATTATATTCTCATCTGACATTGCCGGCACGTATGCACCTCCTGTAATTTTTTTTCTGTTTTGTTTCTTTTATATTCTTATTAAATCGTTTTAAACATCTTTTTTTCATTTTCAACAATTTTAAAATCTACTTTTAAAAAAAAAATTATTAAATTTTTTTTTTTTTGTTTTATTTTTTATTTATTGCATTTTATATAATTTATTTTCATTAAATTTTTAAAAAAAAGGCCCGTGAAGGGAAAAATTGTTTTGTTTTATTTTTAAATTCTAGTTTTAATTTTAGTTGGGAATTTCGGAATTGTTGTGTGAGTTTATATATAAGGAAGAATTTTTGAAGTGAACAAACCTGCCGTGCAACTGCCCATCACAACAGCAATTTGAGCGATTCCTGCAGCGCTCATGTTTGCCTGATTGTAAAAACTTCTACCAAAGTGCATTTTATCTGGAAAGACATCTGCCTGTCGAGGCAAATTAGCTCCACCGCTGTCCACTAGATATAAACATGGTAGCCTATTTTCTTGAGCAATTTCTTGAGCACGCAACTGCTTTTTCACTGTCATAGGATAATAAGTCCCTCCTTTAACTGTCGCGTCATTTGCTATTATCATACATTCAGTACTGAAATAAAAAGAAAATGCACTCATTTTTTTTTAATTATTATACACATGTTTACTTACAGAGGTTGAAAATTATTTAATCTAAAATTTAAAAAAAAAAACAATTATTTTTTCTTTATTTGTAAACGAAAAAGAAAGAAATATTGAAAACGTCTTATTATGAGAAAATTATTAATTTTATGATTTATGTTTTTTTTTGGATAAAAATTTTTTTTCAATGTCAATTAATGGGGAATAGAAAATTATTGTTATTATATTTAATTATATATAATATTTATACATTTATTCTGTCTAGATTGAAGCTAGTGGATATTGTTTTTTCTTATGAAAATTATTTTCTTACATTCGTTTCTTCCCTCATAGCACCTGATATTTAAGGATATCCCTAGGACATCATATGGATATTCATTTGCTTCTGGCGGTTTGGATATCCCTAGGATATCCTGAGAATAGCCTAGGATATCATAAGTATATCCCAGGGATATCCAAACTGACGCAAACAAATGAATATCCTGAGGATATTCCAGAGATATCTTTAAATATCCGGTGCTGTGTGGACATTCATGCATTCAATATTCCTTCCCTAACAGCATCCGGATATTTAGGTTGTCTTACGGATGTACCAAGAATATAATTTTGTCCAGGGATATTCCTACTCGGATATTCAGGTTATCCTCTGGACATCTTTAAAACATCCGACGGTTTTTGGCTGTTTGGATAATGGTAAGAAGTCCTCAGGATATCCACTGATGTCCCTGGGATATTCGACGGATATCCTAACAGCTAGAAGCCGATGGATGTCTTTAAAATAACCTGAAACATCCCGTGATGCGAGGGTTAGGACTTTCTTAGTACATGTACGAACACCCCTGGGATATCATAGGGATATACAAGTTTTCCTTGAGCAAATGATATCCCTACAACATCGGTAAGACATCTTGAATATCCGGATGACCATAAGGCTTTTCAATCCTTTCATAAACCACAATATCTTTTCTTCGTCTCTCTCAGCACCAGATATTTAAGGATATCTCTAAGACATCAGAATATTTTTCCCTGTTCCAGTTTGGTTATCCCTAGGATATATTTACAATATTTTTAGGACATCCTCATGATATCCTTAAAATTTGCATAGGATATCTACGAATTGACGTAGGACATCAGTGGATATCTTAGGGATATCCTAATTTTTTCGGAACTAATAATATCCTTAGAACTTCCGTAGGATATCCTAAATATCCGGATGCTGTAAGTGAAGGGTTTTATCCTCTCAAAGAGCATATGCAGTCATAAATTTCAAAAAAAAATTTTTTTTTTTTAAATACAAAAATTTAAAATTACCCTTCAACTCTTCCTATTCCAGTGATAATTCCTGCCGCTGGTACATCTTCATTTTCATGCATCTCATAGCAAGCTAATTGGGAAAATTCAAGAAATGGAGAATTTTTATCGAGTAGAATGTTTATTCTATCGCGCGGTAATAATTTCCCTTTGCTTACATGCTTCTCCCTTGCCTTACGTCCCCCTCCCTCGACAATTTTTTCCGTTGTCGCCTTCAATTGATCAACCAATATTTTCATTTGTGCATAATTTTCCTATAAACCAATATAATAATTAGATTCTTATTTATGTACATAAAAAAAAATTACAAATCTACCCTCACAACACAGAATATTTAAGGATAACCCTGGGATATCCTAGGGATATCAATTTGCTATCCGGCGGTTTGGACATTCCTAGGTTATCCGAAGAATATCCTAGGGCTATCCAAATTGTAGCAAGGAAATAGATATCCTGAGGGTGTCTCAGGGATATCCTTAAATATCCGGCGCTGTGAGGGTAATCTTTTACAGTAGCGGATATTTCATGATATCCTATGGACGTCCTAAGGATATTATTTGATTAGGGGAAAGTAGAATATCCCTAAGATGCCTCAGAGTTGTCTGTGTACGTTATGGGGATATCCTAATTTCTACGGACGAAAACCTCCCAGCACCGGACATTTAAGGATATCCCTGCGACATCCTATGGATATCTATTTGATTCCGGTAGTTTGGATATCCCGAGGATGTCCTAGGTTATCCGAAGTATATCCTAGGGATATCCAAATTGTAGCAAGGGAATAGATATCCTGAGAGTGTCTCAGGGATATCCTTAAATATCCGGTGCTGTGAGGGTAATCTTTTACAGTAGCGGATATTTCATGATATCCTATGGACGTCCTATGGATATCATTTGATTAGGGGAAAGTAGAATATCCCTAAGATTTCTGAGGGTTGTCTATGTACGTTCTAGGGATATCCTAATTTCTACGGACGAAAACCTCCCAGCACCGGATATTTAAGGATATCTTTGCGACATCCTATGGATATCCATTTGATTCCGATAGTTTGGATATTCCGAGGATGTCCTAGGTTATCCGAAGTATATCCTAGGGATATCCAAATTGTAGCAAGGAAATAGATATCCTGAGGGTGTCTCAGGGATATCCTTAAATATCCGGTGCTGTGAGGGTAATCTTTTACAGTAACGGATATTTCATGATATCCTATGGACGTCCTAAGGATATCATTTGATTAGGGGAAAGTAGAATATCCCTAAGATTTCTTTTTACATTTCAAAACTTTTTTTTACACATTTGATAATTTACTTTTCTAATATGAGAGAACGATAAAATTTTTATAAACAATTAAATATCCACATCTGTAAAAAAAACAGAAAAATAAAAAAAATTATATTGTAAAGTAAATTTCAATATATTTTGTTAATTGAAAAATTTCACTTTTGTTTATTCCCTTTTGAACTTTGGAGGAAAAAATGTTATAATGATAAGAGTCTGGGGGACAAAATTCGCGAATTGATAAGAGTTTAATCGACAGCAAAACGTATAGCGAAATAGTCTAGATCGAAAACATCAGCATATGATTAAATATAAAGTGAAACAGTGTGTGAAAATAATAATAAACAACACTTCCAAACTGCAATTTGGTAAATTTATTTTCTTTTAATTTTACAAAATCTTTGCAAAAAATTATTAATTAAAATTATTGCGAATTTAATTTTAATATGAATCATTTCTTACATAGATATATATACTTGATATAAAAATATAACTCACAGATATATTTTATTTACCAAAAAATTCTACTCTTAAATATGTAAAAAAAAATTTTAATTAATAAAATTAATTAATTAATCAATATTCAATTAATTGTTTAATTAACATTAATATTAATTAATAATTTTTCTAATTTAAAACAAAGTGAAGTGTTTTTTAAAATTTTTTTATTACTTTCAAGATATGAAAAAATAGAAATTAGAAATTAGTAATTAGAAAAAAGTAAACTCTTTCAAACACAGAAATTTTTTTAAAAATAAATAAATTAAAAAAAATAAATATAAAATATAGTGGAAATTAATTTTTGTTACATTAGAAAAAATTATTTATCAGAGGCAAAAGATAGTTTCCGATATCACTCTCTTACTTTTCTGTAGAAAGGGAAGTATATGCACAGGAACTTCATCTAATACACAATCAGCAGTCGGTAGAAACTTTTTAAATTATTCATAAACTAACATTGATAAAATTAAGTTTCATTAAAATATATAAAAAAAAAAGTAGAAAAAAAATCTTTTTTTCTAAAAATGTAGAAAAAAGAAAAATTAAAAATTAAAAAAATTATAATTAAAAATAAAATAATAATTTCCCGCATGATAATAGAGGATTCTAACCTGATAAGTTGAAGAATTTGTATCTTGTTGAGTGCCAATAACAGAAATATTGTGATAAAGTTTTCCTCTTAAAATTGTTAGATTATTAACACTAAGCCCACAATAACGTAAACTTCGAAACATTATTAATTTAACAATTTAAAAACAAACAAACAAACAAACAACAGTCACTAAAACTAAAACAACAACAGAGGAGAATAGTAAAAATATATAAACTATAGTAAAAGAATAAATCTGTTAGATATACAAGACACATGCATGCAACTCGAGAGTTCTACAATTAGTGTTATCCCCACGTCACAGATTTTTTATAATATTTTTACGTTGGCACTGTGCGGTAAATACGATAAGTCCCGTTAAGAGATATTAGACGAAATTTGTTCATTTGCAACGAATGAAATCGATTCTTGATCTTTTGTATCCCCTTAAAAGTGGGGAATAAATTAGAATTCAAAATTATTTTCAAAGTTCAAAAATATACATATGAATGATTCTCCACGTAGTGTACAATTTAGTTATTGCTTATATTGTTAAGAATTTTTTTTTCACAATTTTAAAAATTAAATTATAATTTTCAAAGTTAGTATTCAAAAATAAAATATCCGTGCTGGATATTTTAATTAATACCTACTCTACAATCGCTTATATTTTAATATTGCTAAAAGTTAGTTGTAAAAAAATTATATTTACTATAAATTTTAATTGTTTATATAATTTTTTAACTACTTAATTTTTATAATATAAAAATATAAAGCGATTGTATTAAAATAAGCCCTTGTTTATTAAAATTAAATAAAAATTGTGATTTTTAGAAATGAGAGCTGAGAGAAAAAACATTAAAATGTTAAAAAAAATATAATAATTATTTAAAAAATGTCTTTTGACATAAATGATGTTTTTTTAACATGTCATGTATGTAGTATCCCTAATAACACAAGATATCTTGGGATATATTGATAATATCCCGCAGATATCCTAGGGATGTCCTATGGATATCAAAAGGATCTCTTAAGGATATCCAAAAAATAGGCGGTTTGGATATCCTTTGGATATCCCAGGGATATCTGAGGATATCCTATGGATATTTGAGGATATCCACAGGATATCTTCTGGATATCTCTATAGACTTTCATAAATATCCTCCAGATATCCCATAGATATCGTCAGGATATTCCACAGATATCATCAGGATATCCCATAGATATCGTCAGGATATCCCACAGATATTTTCAGGATATTCTCAGTATATCCTCTGGATGTCAAGAAGATATTCTCAAGATACAGTTTTTAAAGTCATTATGAGACTATACGAGTGAGAATATTCTGTGAATTAAATTTTATATAAATAAAATAAAATCCAACTTGTTTTTCGAGAAAGTTGTTTAATTTGAAAAATTATTAACTAATTTTTTTCTCATTCGTGATTGATTCCTTTATTCATATGCTTAATATTGTCAGAAAATAAATTGGGTTTAAACAATATAAATTCTTCCCCGCAAATAACGAATAACTATTAATATTAATAATACATTAAGTGCATGAGTTTATTTAAAAACTTTGAAAAATGCGTTTCAAATCTTCATTTAAAATAAATTAGAAGCTCATAAGATTTTTGTTTTTATTATATTATTATTATTCATTATATTAGCTTAACAATTTTAACCTTTAAAAATATATGTTGAGATATTAAATATCCCGTGAATATCCTAAGAATATCCCATCGGACATCCTAAGGATATCCCATGGATATCCTGCGATATAATATCCAATTGATATTTTGTGGATGTCTTAGGGATATCCTGTGGATATCCTATGGATGTCCTGTTGATGTCCCACAGACCGGCGGTTTGGATATCCTAGAGATATCCTATGGATATCCCAAAATATCCTGGGGACCTTTCTAGGATATCGACCATTGATATGGATATCCTATGGATATCCTAGGGATATCCTTTTGTTATGAGGGATTATTATAATAATTGTTATTATTATTAAAAGGTAAAGTTTATATCATAATCAATTTATTTATAAATCTGATAAAAAAATTTTTTTGTATTTCACATTTATAATAAATTTTCAGTTTCTGAAAAGGACGGCTGTGTCGTTGAAACGTAAAAATTTTTTTTATTTTTTTATTTCATTTTATTATTTCTTTTCTTTATTTTTTATTTTTATCATTTTGACTCGAAGTGATCGACATCATCATTTTTATTATTATTATTATTATTATTATTATTATTATTATTATTATTATTATTATTATTTTAAAGAAGGGTAAAGTGGAAATCTGCTACACCAAGGAGGGAAAACAACTCCAAGAATTATTTAATTTTATTATTATTATTATTAATTATAAAATTAGCTAATAATATTTAAAAAGAAGTTCTCAAATAATTATTTAATTGAAATAATAAATAAATATTATTTTATTCTTAATTTTTTCAAAAATTAGGCAACAAGGAAAATAATTAGACTGCCATCTAGAGTGTAAAACGCGCGGTAACCGTTTTACCGATAATATATAACCTGTTTTCACAAACAAAATGATATTATTTTCTTTTTTACATGTATTTTAAATATACGAAACGATATATAAGTTGGTAATATTAAAATTATATATTTTAAATATTTTTAAAATAATTTCTCACAATTTTTTTTTATATATTAGCAATATGTTGTGTAAAGAATAACTTTAATGTAAAATTTTTGGAAATTTTTTTTAAATTATCTGCAAACCGCATGATTTTTCAATTCAGGGCACCTCAAAAATGTAAAGATTTCATGGAATTAGAAAAAGTCAATTTTTGACTATAATTAAAAAAAACTTATGATATGAGAATGTAAAAATGCAAAAATCAATCATTGAATAGTTGATTTATTATTCAATTCAATAGCAATTTTTATTTATTTTTTTTTATTTATTGAATTATTCTTCGCCTCATGAATTGTTTTGATCTGAAAAATTCATATTGAAAATTACCAAAGAAATTTTTCAACTTATTCGCAGAATTTCAATTTTTCATATAGAATGAGAATTTTTTTAAAGAAAATTTTACAGCAGACGACGCAAACATTGCACACTATACACAATTTAATCCTTCAGAGTTTCATCCATATATATATATATATATATATATATATATATATAGTTTTTAGAATAGAGAAGTTGTGTACAATAAAATGCGCGCATGCTTAGTTAATTTTAGGTACATTTTGTTGAATGACAACAATAGCAGAAGCCTTACCAAGTATATATCGAAAACAAGTTATATTCTTTGTATATGTGAAATTTTTATATAGTTTTTCTACGCAGTTTAATTTATCTTTATCTAATTTATATTTATTTTCTTTATAATTAGGTTTATTCAGAATAATATAAAAAAAAAAATTATCAATTATGCCGGATTTGTCAGTAATTACACATTATCCTTTAAAGGTGAGTGAGTTAATATTTGTTTTTGAATATTCGACTCATACACATGTTTCAAATATATATATTTTTTTAATTATCCAATACATATTTAGAAATTTTAAATAACTCATTTTAAAATTAGTTTTAAAAAACGCAGTTTAAAAAATGTAACGATTTTCATACAACAATTTATAGTTTTTCTATTTCATATTCAAATGACGATGTAAATTCTGTTTAAAAAAAATTGTATCATATTAAAAAAAAAGAAATATTTATAATTATAATAGTTTTAAAATTAATTATTTGTCTTTTAATTTAAATATTTTCGAAAAAAATAAAATTTTTTGGATTAATTAACAATACTGAAATCAAAATTTATTTATTGATTCAAATAATCGGTTACTTGACTATTATTAAATAAATATTTATTTGAAGCAAATAATTTTTATATTTTAATTAAATAAACTGTTTTTGAACCAATAATTTCTGTATTTGAAATAAATGCAGGTTATTTAATTCAAATAATAATTATTTGCTCCAAATAAATATTTATTTGAGAATAGTCAAGTAACCGATTATTTAAATCAAATAAATTTTTTTTTCACTGTATTATTTAATATTAATTATAAATTATAATGTTGATATTAATTATTAATATTAAAAAACAATATCAAAGGCGAAAAATTTAATATAAATTTATAAATGTAATTTTTAATTTTCAGATCATTTTTGCTATCCACTTCTTCCTCGTCTCATGGTAGGAGTTATTAATTTTAATATCAAAAATTAATATTTTTTAAATTATACATTTAATTTAAAATCTCTTGAAGTTTTCTTTATGATTTATTTTTATTTATTTATTTAATTACTAAGAAGAATTAGAAAAAAATATTACCTTCTCATATAATGAGAATATAATTAAATCAATTTTTTCTTCAAAAATGTTAAATTTTATTTGCAGTAAATTTTATTTACATTATCGTTAAAATAATTTTTTTTTAAACAAATACAAATAATAATATCTTAAATAAAAATTAATAATTTATTATATTTATGTTAATTTGATTTTATTTTAATTTTACATCTTTCATTCAAATATTTATTTTTTATTATCCATAGTCAAACTATATAATTATTTACACTTAGAATAACTTAATAACTTCAAATTTATTTATAAATTTACATAGAAATTTGGATTCTTTAAAAATCAGTAAAAATTTTCCTTTAAATTATTTTTATTTAATTTTTCTGATTTGTTAAAATTGTTAAAGAGAAAAATAATATATTTTCAAAATTCAAAATGGCGGAGATATTTTCGAAGTTTAACGAATTTCATTCAAATTTTACATTTTTCAATGTTCTAATTTAATAATTAATAAATAATTAATTAATAATCAATTAACTAATTAATAATTAATTAATAATCAAATAACTAATTAATAATTAATTAAAAATCAAATAACTAATTAATAATTAATTAATAATCAATTAACTAATCAATAATTAATTAATAAAAAATAATAATTTTATTTAACCAAAAGAAATTTTTTTCATTTTCAGGGGCCTCCAAGGATTCTATTCCCAATCGATGATATTTTACAATGTTCTTTTTTTTATTTGTCTTCTCTGGGCCATTCACAATACCGAAACAGATGAATCTCTACAATTCGTAAGTATTATTTTTCATAATTATAGAAAAAAATTTTAATATTAAATGTCATTTTGCGAAAACCACATTTAAAGTTTCAATTTAATTTTCTATTCAGAAGAATTTTTTTTTGATTTTACAATGAGTCGTCAATTTCTGAACCATATAACAATAAAAATTTACAGATAGATGTCAAAAGGATCTCTTAAGAATATCCAAAAAATCGTCGATTTGGATATCCATTGGATATCCCATGGATATCTGAGGATATCCACAGGATATCTTCTGGATATCTCTATAGACTTTCATAAATGTCCTCCAGATATCCCATAGATATCGTCAGGATATCCCACAGATATCATCAGAATATCCCATAGATATCGTCAGGATATCCCACAGATATTTTTAGGATATTCTCAGTATATTTTCTGGATGTCAAGAAGATATTCTCAGGATACTGTTTTTAAAGTCATTATGAGACTACGAGTGAGAATATTCTGTGAATTAAATTTTATATAAATAAAATAAAATGCAACTTGTTTTTCGAGAAAGTTGTTTAATTTGAAAAATTATTAACTAATTTTTTTTCTCATTCGTGATTCATTCCTTTATTTATATGCTTAATATTGTCAAAAAATAAATTGGCTTTAAACAATATAAATTCTTCCCCACAAATAACGAATAACTATTAATATTAATTATACATTAAGTGCATGAGTTTATTTAAAAACTTTGAAAAATGCGTTTCAAATCTTCATTTAAAATAAATTAGAAGCTCATAAGATTTTTGTTTTTATTATATTATTATTCATTATATTAGCTTAACAATTTTAACCTTTAAAAATATATGTTGAGATATTAAATATCCCGTGAATATCCTAAGAATATCCCACGGACATCCTGAGGATATCCCATGGATATCCTGCGATATAATATCCAATAGATATTTTGTGGATGTCTTAGGGATATCCTGTGGATATCCTATGGATGTCCTGTTGATGTCCCACAGACCGGCGGTTTGGATATCCTATGGATATCCCAAGATATCTTAGGGTCCATTCTAGGATATCGACCATTGATATGGATATCCTATGGATATCCTAGGGATATCCATTTGTTATGAGGGTAGCTTTTGAATATTTTTTATATTTTAATATATTAGTTTGACATATTCTTAGTAATTTTCTAAGTTTTTTGTTGCAACTAATTCGATACAAAAGAATAAATTAGCTTTAAAGATTAATAATTATAAATTTTTTATTTTAACCTAAAAATTCACATTTTATTCTGCAAAATTAATACCTTTTTTGCAAGTCCTGCTGTTGTGGTAATTTTTTTCTTAAAGAATAATATAACCTTAAATTTCTAAGTCATAATATTAAAATTTAAATAACTCATGAATTTTAAAGTAAAAACACACAATTTTTGGTTTTTATTTTTCACAATTAAATACGTCGGGTCCAGCAGACCCGCTGTGCCATTTACGTTCGAAATGTGGCAGTTAAGGGTTAAGAAAAAATTATTAATTAATGAAATTACTATATAATTATTTATTGGAAAATTTTTTCTCATTTTAGGCATTATTCATTAACGTACTTTCCATATTATTTGACGTGGTGATGTTAGTTGTTAATTTTCCAAGTGGTAAGTTTAAAAAAAAATGTTTTAAAACTAATAATTTAATTTGGTGGAAGAATTAACAAAAGAGAAATTTATTTAATTTGCTTAAGAAGATGTATCTATTTGATGGAACAAACTTACAGACTCCTATGGAAAATTCTGCGCAGTAGGAATTATTTTTAATACTTGTGCACGAGTTTTTACTTCAATATTTCTTCTACGAATTGGTAGAGCAAGAGGTGGAACTTTAGCCATGATGTTTCCTACTGATCCTGCTATGGGTATTAAAAAAATTTCATTTTTTTTTAAATTAATTTAAATTTAAATTAGATTTATTTTAAATTAAATACATTTTTTACCATACGCAAATAATATTTAAAAAAAACTTTTTTTTAAGGTTTTGGAAGACAGGATTACGAAGACATATCAAATCCAATGCCTAATAATTCAGATTTCGTTGGAATTTAAAGAAAGTAAGTAACGTTGCAGAGAGAAAGTTTTTTTTTCAAAATAAAACAAAAAATTAACAACGAATATATTTCAAAATCAAAAAAAAAATACTCAAAATTTTATTTTTTTAAAATTCGTAACAAAGAGGTCTATTTTGTAAAATATACACACCTGTTTGTTAAATTAAATTTTTAAATCATATTAATTATTTTAAAAGAAAAGAAAATTTGTTAAATAGAAAAATGTTTAGAAATATTGGAAAAGAAATTTTTTTAAACAAAAACAGTCACTAATATTACTCTATATAATAGTTAGTATTTATAAGATTTAAATTACGTTAATTAATAAAATAAATTAATTATGTTATCGTAGAGAAATTGTTCTCTAAAAATAAAAGTCATTTATATATAGAAAGCATCAAAAAGACAGTTGCTTATCATAGATTTAATAATGTTATACTATTTATTATAGTTTGTATTAATAATATAATAATTCTAGTTTGTATAATTTTCATTGATCAAGCGAATGATATATTATTATTAAATATTAAGAAATGCCATTACTATTCACATAATTGTAAATTTTAATTTAAAAAAAAATGTTTGCGATATTTTATAAAATGCACTACGTTTTTATGCTTTATTTTAAAAGCTTATTTATAATGCATTTTTAATTATTTTGAAATAAAATTTGTAATACAAATAGAATTTTGTGAAAAAAAATAATAAAAAATGATATGTACATTTATTTATTTTGCTGTCTTCTCTTTTTTCAAAAAAATTAATTTATACTTTATTTAAAGGAACAAAAATTTTATTTAGGAAAAAATATTTTTAAATTAAAAAATTAATATCTTTGTTTAACGCCGATAGTGGTCTGAAAACCTCGAATATGTAAAGAGGCAAACACCTAGCGACCAAGGGATAAAAAATTACAAAGAATGAATACTTTTAGGGTTTCCTACTCTCAAGCTCAGTGCCTTTAGAGGATCGAAGAGGAGATCACCAAGATGGTAAAGTCTTGCAAAGTCCAGAAGAATGGCAACATGACTATTAAGGACGCGGACAGACTTAAGACTCTTCAGGATCTTGTCATTGAGGCGAAGACAAAGAACATCCTAGCTGATAATGGAGATAGGAACCTTGGTGCTATAGGAAATGCTGAGATGAATCGAGACCAAGGAGGACTGACGCCGAGGCAAAGAAGAAGCAAGAGGAGGCACCTCTTGTCAAAATGATTGCAAAGGTTACGGTAGCACCGAATTCTAAGCTAACCAGTAAGAAAAAAGCGACGATTGGATCTACAATGGTGATCCGAGTCGCAGCAGGAACAACGTATGCAGACATACTGAGCAAACTTTGGAGGGAAGTGAATCCGAACATCAGTCACACGCAGGTCGTTGGTGCAAGGCTACAAGAAAGGGAGATCTTCTGATCAAAATCGGAGGAGACTCCAATAAGGAGGAATTTACTGCTGAGGTCACCAAAGTGGTTGGAAACATGGGGAAGGTTCAGACTGTGGATCAACAGGTTACACTGGAGATCCGCGACCTGGATTGCCTTACTCAGAAAGAAGAGGTCCAACAGTCTTTGTCGGAAGTCCTCCAGAAGCCAGGAAGCAGAAATGTGACGGTCCTAGGATCCAACCGACGAGGAATGAATCTCGCAGTTACAGTTACCGACCCAGAGGAGGCGGACAGGCTGGAGAAATTGGGACGCATTAGAATTGGCTTTATGAGTTGTTCAATAAAAAAGAAGGTTGATGGTTAGGTACCACCGGCGCCTTGCGTACGACCACAATGGAAGAGTTTGTAACGCAGCGGACAGATCGACTGCGTGCTTCAAGTGCGGTGAAGTTGATCATAAGTTTGCAAACTGCAGCAGAAGCCCAAGTTGTTTCATATGAAGAGAAAATTATTGCAATAAGACTAAGAGTTATGCAGATTTTGCAATTCCCTCGTAAAGAAAATATAAAAAAACTAATCAATAAAAGAACAAATCGTAATTTCATGTAAAAATTAAAGGTTATGATAAATATATATAATAATATATTATAATATATTATAATTATAAAGTTGATATGTAACATTGTTACAAAAAGCTAAACTTCAAAAACCTATATATATATATATTATTTGTTTATCACAAAAAATATAACTGTTAAAAATACAAAATATAATATTCAATGTTAACAACTTGAAAATAACGAGTTTCAAATAGATAAAATTAAAAAATAAAAGTATTGCGTAATTAGGCGAGTAATTAAGTCAAGAGTATAAAAAAGCAGGGAACAATTCTTTTTTTCAATATATTCTTTAAATTTCCAAGTTATAATTTTTAAAATTCAATCATGAAAGTTTTATCAACTTGTTTGGTAGCAGCAGTTTTAGTTATTTGCTGGGCTACATTAGGAGAGGCTAAAGTAACACAAAGTAAGTGAGAAATGGTTATAAAAATTTTCCATTGAAAGAAAATAAAAATTTATTTCTGTTATTATTTTATTAGTTAAACGTAAAATGTCGGAAACAGGACGTGGAGCAGTCGGATATGGAGTTTAGCGTGTAAGTATTTACATTAAAAATATTTTTAAGTTTGAAATAAAAATTTACCAAATTTGTTTTTATTAAAATAACCCTGGCTGATTAGGAATTACTTACTAACACTGTGCAACAGAATTTCATTTTTCTTTATTTCTGAGACCGCATAAGGTGATTCTTATAGGATTTTCGACGCTGAACACGAATCCGTAATCAGAATTGCTCCATCACCCTACGTCTTCGAGAAATTTGACCTTGAAAATTGAAAAAATGCTGTTTTTAGGGTACTTTTTGATTTTTTATTACGGTACCAAAATTTTTTCCGAGGTTTTCATGATATGCATATGAAAGCTGATATCCTCCTTAACATTTTCCAATTTTGATCTTTAAAAAATATCTTTTTTTGGATGAGTTATCCTCATTTGAAATTCGCGTTGCAACGTGAATCGGGATCACAGTGCAGGAGGCGTATAAAAAATGGTCCAAAATTCAAATGTATTTTAAATGGTCTGATACTTGTTACTCGGGGGTTTTCGGGGTCGCTGATTACGAATTCGATGTCCGTTTTTGAAAATTCAAAATGGCGGATCTACTATGGCGGACGACTTTTTCTAAACTCGATCGAAATGGCCTGTAACTTGTTACTCGTGGGTTTTTGGGGTCGCTGATTACGAATTCGATGTCCGTTTTTGAAAATTCAAAATGGCGGATCTACTATGGCGGACGACTTTTTCTAAACTCGATCGGAATGGCCTGTAACTTGTTACTCGGGGGTTTGTGGGGTCGCTGATTACGAATTCGAGGTGACTCGTGAAGCTCTGGTTTTTTCTCTGTCTCTCTTTAACAGTCTGGGCTTACTGCTTTGCCTGCCCCGAATTCGTAATCAGCGACCCCAAAAACCCCCGAGTAACAAGTTACAGGCCATTTCGATCGAGTTTAGAAAAAGTCGTCCGCCATAGTAGATCCGCCATTTTGAATTTTCAAAAACGGACATCGAATTCGTAATCAGCGACCCCGAAAACCCCCGAGTAACAAGTATCAGACCATTTAAAATACATTTGAATTTTGGACCATTTTTTATACGCCTCCTGCACTGTGATCCCGATTCACGTTGCAACGCGAATTTCAAATGAGGATAACTCATCCAAAAAAAGATATTTTTTAAAGATCAAAATTGGAAAATGTTAAGGAGGATATCAGCTTTCATATGCATATCATGAAAACCTCGGAAAAAATTTTGGTACCGTAATAAAAAATCAAAAAGTACCCTAAAAACGGCATTTTTCAATTTTCAAGGTCAAATTTCTCGAAAACCTAGGGTGATGGAGCAATTCTGTTTACGGATTCGTGTTCAGCTTCGAAAAACCTATAAGAATCACCCTATGCGGTCTCAGAAATAAAAATGCTGTTGCACTGTGTAATTAAAGTTTAATTTAACATAATTCATCAAATCAACTAAATATTAACTAATTTTGTATCATTTTTTCAACATAAATAAAAAATTATTTTTCTGTTTTTAAAACTTATTTTTCTCTGTTGTAACACACTAATGCCATTTTTACAATAATTATTTATATTTAAAAATTTTTAAAGTTATAAAAAATTTTTGTAGTGTTCTACTTTTTAATTTTTAACGATAATTTTAAAGATGGATTCTAACATTGACTAGTTGCAATGTAATATTATTTTAAATATTCAGGTATTATTATTATTTAGTGTTTTAATTTATGTGTTTAATTTTGTGTATTTATTAATTTGGTGTTTTGTTTAATAAATTAGCCTGAAAAAGATAGTAAACCAAACCATCGAAACGTCGCAACTTGACAAAATAACATAAATCTGTTTTATGTGTTTTCTTTACTTTCCATTGATCGAATTTTACTTCTTATCAAAATGTTAATTTGTAATAAAAATTTTGTTTAAAATTTATATTTAATACTTCATGTCAATAACTTTTTCATTTTAGGTAAAGATGAGTCGTCTTATTAAAAATGGAACTTAAATTTCATAAAGAGGACACAATTTCTTCAACAGTTAATTGTGTATAATTATTTAAATGAATAAAATAATTTAATTAAATTTATTACTTATTTCATCATATTTCCAAACATCAGTTATTATTTAAATATAAGTTGAAATCTATTCTGATTTTAAACATCAAAATCATGGTTTTCAGATTTTGTTAAATTTTTTTTTAATTTCTGATTGTCACTTTTTTATTAAATTGATTAAAATCCTAATAAAAATAATTTACTCCAATTTTAAATATAGTAAATTTTTATAATTAGAACGTGGGTCAAGACTTATTCCGGTGAATGGTAAACTTTCGTAATACCTCAAGAGGATATATGCCTAATATTAATTCATATATCAAGTATGTCAAACATATATGCAAATAATTGTATAAATTTTAATTTCAGGAAAATATAAATTGAGGTTTTATATGGAATGTATATTATTTTTATCAGTATTGTATTCAAACTTGTTTCGCTATATTTTATTAATTCTTAAGGAATTAAAACACTGTAGGAGGCTGAAATTTAACGTTTTTTTTGCTATTTTTTCGTGGAAGGAGAAATAGGAAGATAATTAAGTAAGATAAATAAAATAAACGAAGACATTCGGACCAAATGTTATAAATATATTTCTCCAACGTTTCGAAATCTGTACGATTTCCTCTTCAGGGAGTCTATCAAGTTACAATAATAAATTAAAAATTAATACTAACAAAAGAGTTCAGAAAATTAACAATATAAAATTCTTACCAAAATAAATAAAATAATAAAAATTAAAAATGAATGATTGATTCCATTATCACAATTCATTACAGTCCATTTTTCATCCGTCATAATTCACAAATTCATCAAGTACAATTAAAATAGAATAAACGTTGGAAAACAATAGAGATTGGAGTCATCGACTAAATATAGAAAGAAAATAATAATAAATAAAAATATATTGATTAATAATAATGTTTAAGGAAATTAAATAAATAATATAAAAATAATATAAAAGTAAAATTAAAAATTTTTAAATAAACAATTAACATAAATTATAAATAAATAAAAATAATAATAAATAATAAATTAGTTACGAACCAATAGCATGAATATAACTAAATTCCAAAAATCACAAACAATCATGACTATTACAAATAAATTATACATCACATTAAATAAATAAAATATTAAAACATTGAAACTATTAAATAAATTGATTAAATTCAGCTGTCAAACTTTAGTCAGTTAAAACCATCAAGTCACGATATCAACTGAACTCCAAACACTATTATTTCCTTACAATAATTAATACATACAAAGCAGACAATTAATACTTATATAAACTAAACAAGAACCGGGAACAAGCAATAATGATTATTTTCAAGAAGAATTTTCAATTTGAAATAAAATTCAAAATCATTTCATATGATTTATCAAAGTTATCTAAATCTGTAATTTTATTTAAACTATTATTTCTTTCTTTTTTTATATAAAACATTTCTGCAAATAATCGTTTACTAAGATTTTTTTCTGTATGTAAAATTTTAATTATTAATTAAATTAAATGATATTGTTAGGCATATTTTTATGTTTGTAAAAATATTCTTTTTATTTAAAAAAGTTACAAAATGGCGGAGTTACGGCTGTTCTTCGAAGATGGTAAAAATATAATATATGAAATGATAAAAATTTTTATTGAAAAAAATGAATATTTATTGAGTTAAACTGCGTGCAGATTTGAAAAATCGTGATTCGAAAAAAACGCGTTTTAAGTTGTGACATGCGTTTAATGCATGAAAAAATAATAAATTTAAGTACTAAAAAATTTTTACCATTAGTCTGCTATTCGAGGACCATATAGTTGACCTTCTAATGACATCTTTTAGTGAATTAGAAAAGTTCGAAGTTGAATTCAAAGGTATTATGTGGATCAGACGTAGCAGGTAACAACTTACCGCAGGTATTCCGTTTAGAGCAGCTCGCACGGCTTGGGAAGGAATGCGAAATTTCAGGGAAAAAATTTTCCGATTGATATAAAACCTTTGACTCTTATTCTAGAAGGTTCAAAGAAGAAAATTTTCGATTTTTAGAAAATAATATTAAAAATATATAATATAAAATTATATTAAAAAAATTCTTTTAATAAATAAATATATTGTTTTTTAATATATATATTTCTCGATATTTAATACTTCCAATTTTGCTCAAGTACGCAACTTATGATCAACGATTAGAAATCAATTTTTATTAAACACGGAAAATTATAAAATTGTTTACCTAAAAAAATTTTTTTTCATTTTGAAAAATTATTTCTTTAAAAATCGTTTATCATAAACGTTGCGTACTTCAGGTACGTAACTCCAAAGAAATTTATTTTTTATTTACTTTAAAAAAATTATTATGTTCTAAATTGTCATTCCTTCAGGAAAATTATCAGCAATTACCCTAGCTGATAATGGAGATAGCAACCTTGGTGCGCAGACATAAAGGTGCTGAAACGAATAAGAAGCTTCTTCAGTCCGAAGAGAACTGATGCCGGGGCGAACAAGAGACACCTCTTGTCAAAATGATTGCAAAGGTGACGGTAGCACCGAATTCTAAGCAAAGCAGTAAGAAGAAAGCGACGAGTGGATTTACAATGGTAATCCGAGTCGCAACGGAAACAACATATGCCGACGTATTGAGCAAACTTTGGAGAGAAGTGAATCCGGACGTTAGCCACACGCAGGTCGTGGGTGCAAGGCCTACAAGAAAGAGAGATCTCCTGATCAAAATCGGAGGAGACTCCAATAAGGAAGCATTCACTGCTGAGGTGATCAAACCGGTTGGAAGCATGAGGAAGGTGCAGACCGTAAATCGACAGGTCACACTGGAGATCTGCGACCTGAATTGCCTTACCCAGGAAGAATAGGTCCAAAATGTGTTGGCGGAAGTACTCCAAAAGCGAGCAAGCAGGAAAGTGATGGTCTTAGGACCCAACCGACGAGGAATGAAGCTCGCAGTTGTAGTAACCGACCCAGAGGAGGCGGACAGGCTGGAGAAATTGGGACGCATAAGGATTGGCTTTATGAATTCAATAAAAAGAATGGTGATGGTTAGGTTCCACCAGCGCCTGACGTGCGGCCACGAACCAAATAACAATTTAGTACCTAAAGTCTGTATTAAACTGATACCTTTCGTTTTACAGTGTAGAAAGAGTTTGAAAGGCAGCGGACACATCGACTATGTGCTTCAAGTGCTGTGAAATCGATCATAAGTTTGCAAACTGCAGTAGAAGCCCAAGCTGTTTCTTATGTAGAGAAAAGTATATCCATAAGGCGATTATCAGCCATATCGTAGGTAGCGGAAAATACGTAGTCTTCAGGACTGACCTTTAGGAGTCTAAGAAAACTTTTGCACGAACGAAGAATAAATAGACCAGAAAGATCGCGGCGACTGTAGTATTAATTTAGTAAAATATAACCAATCGTTACGATGAAACGCGTTATTCTTGTAGAGCCTGATAATAAGAATCAAGACACTTTTTTAACATAAAAAAAACATTTATTCTATTACATAAATTTTACCAAACGGAACATATATTTTTTCCAATCATTGTAGAGTTATTATGACAATTAAAATCTTTTGCAAATTCAGGCATATTAGAAAATGATCCCAAAATTCTAAATTCTGCAGGACTGTACACGTCGTTGAGAATTTTATTTTTCAAATGTTCAGATCTATACTTGGTGCACCACATTTGAGCAGTACTAATCCAAAATAGTTGGAACTGCGAATAATTTAAATCGGACAACATAAATTCTGCTCCATGTCGTTTTATCCATTCCTGATAAGTTAAATATGCAATTTTTATTCCTCCATTATCAGCAATATTTTCCCTTTGCGTATTGAGGACATTTAACTGAAATCAAATTTTTAGAATCAATGTTCTTAATTTAAAACCAAAATCAATTAACTTACATTTAGGGAAAATTCTTTAACTTTATATATTTCGTATTGATGAATAAAACACTCGATATTTGAAAGATATTTTCTAGCCGTATCTTGTTGATTTTTTATATTCTTTTTCATATTATTATCAAAAAAGTGAGTAATTTCGTGAGCAATTAAGAAACCAATTGCACCGTAATTCATTGCCATTGGTCTATTTTTATTGTAAAAAGCTTCCTGGAGAATTCCGCCTGGTACAACTAAAAATTTAATTTCTCTCACTATTAACTCCATCAAATAATTTTTTGTGAAAATCTATTTTTTTTAAATAAACTTACGAACACTGTCAGTATTCAATTCATAATAAGTATCCACAATTACTGGACTAACGTTAAAATTCCAACTCGTAGTATTCACAGGTTTCTTCCACAGACCAAGTAAATAATTTTCATTAAATAATGTTAGGTTTAGCATTGATTCGACATGATCTCCATCTGTTATTTCTAGATTTTGATAGAACTCATCAATCTTCCTATCATCTAGGAGTTCATCAGTATAACCAATGAGAGCTCTAATTGACATTAATTTCTCCAATAAATTTTCTTTTGTTGTATCGTCTAACCAATTTAACTAAATAAAATTTTATAATGAAATGAATGAAAGAAACATAAATTTAGTATAATAGATAAATTTTGTTTTACTGTTCTTAAGATATTTCCAAATTCTTCTTTTATATTGTTGAATATTTCCTCTACATCATTTCGAGAATCTTTGTTAAAGTAATTCCTAACATAAATGGAGCCAATACTGTGTCCAAAATTGTCATTTGCAAGTAAAATACATTCCTTCCATCTGGGTTCCCTTTCCTTTTGTCCAGTTGTATAAGTTAGAAATTTCAATTCTCTCCCCCGGACATCATCATTTAGATAACTAATCATCTCTCTAACTACTTTCCACATAATAAAATTTGCCTGATCCCTTTTCGTAAAATTCACCATTACCTTTTCAAATTCACTAAAAAAATTCGGATCTTTTACCAGTACCTCATCATTTTCATCAGCTTCATTGTTTGGATTTAATAAATTGCTAAAATATTCTTTCCACGATATAAAGGAATAATTTATCTCAAGTTCCTTTATTGTTGTTAAATTATTGTAATCTCTTTCTTCTTCTGTCGACGAAATCTATAAATTATTAAATATTAGATTACCTATTAGATTTTTATTAATAAATAAAAATTAAAATAAACTTATACATTGACTAAATTCATTTCAAATAAAACTGATCTTTTTAATTCGTCTCTGGCTTTTGTTTCATCAGCTCCAAAAATAATTGCAATATCAACCATGTAATTGTAGTAAGCTTCAATTGTACTATCATTTAAACCTTGTTTGATATTTTCATGAGTCAGATCAAGAAATGGTTGATCGATCTAAAATCAATTAGATTATTTTTGAATATCAAAATTACGAATTGGAATTGTAGAATTAATTAATTATCAATTTACATATAAAATTCTTTTTGAACTATTTTTCAAATCAGAAATAACGCCTGAATCAAAAAAATTAACTACTGGAAGACTTTCTTTCTTGAATTTTGAAACTAATTGTTCCCAATTAAAATTGTCATCTTTCCAAGAATCTCCTTCCAAAACGGGCCATCCACCTAATTTGTTTAAAATATCAACAGCTGCTTGCAATCCCTTACTATTTATTGCAGCTATAACAATTTTAATATTTAAAGATTAAATTAGTTCAAATTGAATTAAATTTCAATTTAGATATTAAAGATTCTGACCAGTTAACGGATTATTATAAACTATCAAAGTTGATAGTCAGATTTACAGATTCAAAAATGATTTCAGTATATAACTCACTTTCATTTATGCAATTTCGATAAAATGTTTTGATCATTTTCACATGTCTTGCGTCGTTAGGTTTAAATTCCTCCTCGAGGGAATTTTTTAATTGCATTTGAATTTTATCTTCAACAAGACTATATGCATCAACATAAATTTTATCATCCGGAAGAATTGTAGTATTAAGAAATTTACCGCAAGCAAATTTGTAAAAATCTTCACACGGATCAATGCTGATATCCAAATTATCTTTTAAGTGGACAGTAAAATCAAATTTATTAACATTACTTTTCTTAAGATTAATAAAAAGTTATATTTTTATTCATTTCCCTACTAATTAATTAAAACTTACCAAATGCTGAATAATCATTTTGTGCAGTTGATGAAATTAAATCAAGGTTTATAATGAACAATATTATTAAACCTCGTTTTGTAGATTCCCATTTTTTCCACAAAGAACTTAAAACATGTAGAATAATTTTTTTTAAATTTTACTTTGAAAGATTTAACTATGGAAAAATTTTCTTTATAAAGAAATAAAAAATTTTGCTAAATCTTTAATTTAAATAAAGAAATTAATTTTTAGAATTGAATACTTTGGGAGTTGAAAAATTTTTTGACTAGAAATTAGTTTGGAATATATTTCCATAAAATAATTTTAAAAATGTACATACTTGTTCATCATTTTAATTCTTTAACAAAACAATTGATTTTGATATTAGAAAGTTTTACTATCTTGTGACGAGTTGATTTGGACGTTTACCAAATATGAAAGCGCTAATCTATATATTTATAGTTTAACCACTAACATATCTTAATATTATTTATTCAATTAAGATAACAATTGCCGAATCTACTTCAAGGAACTTAATTCTAATATTTTTTTACATGTTTACATTTATCACTAAGTGTATATATTAATTCTAAATATTTATTCAAATGTCACATATTCAAAAATCTTTTTTCTTCATTTGAAACTAAATAATAATATTAATGAATCGTTCAATTCATGTTTCATATATTAACTAAGGCGAGAGAGTGATAAAATGAATTATGTATTAATAATATTAATGATTTATTAAAAATTTATCACCTATGACATTATGATGTTTTCATTGAACCGTTAGTATAATTTTGTGCATTTAGAAATATTTTGCATGAGGGTTCCATGAAACTAGAATAAAAAAAATTTTGTTTCTTTTCATTTATACATTTCGGCAACAGATTTATGTCTTCGTCAGGGAATTTTTATTTATGTATATCTGTAATGAGAAGAACGTACAATATAACTGCGTAAAGTTTCTTTGCCAGTAAAAATAGTAGAAGATTAATAACGTTTTAACACTTTTCCAAAATCTACTTTTTTACAGCAAAAAACTACCACTATACAAGGTGAGTTTTAAACAACTTCAACCTAGAGGTTCTGAATTGAAGCAGAATGCAAGAAGTGATTAAAGCTGAGGCAAGAGGAAGCTGATTGGCTTCAGAGGATCGTAGATAGGAGATCACCAAGATGGTAAAGTCTTGCGAAGTCCAGAAGAATATCAACATGACTATTAAAGACGCGGACGGACTTAAGACTCTTCAGGATCTTGTCAGTGAGGCGAAGACAAAGCACACCATAGCTGATAATGAAGATAGCAACCTTGGTGCGCAGTCATAGAGGTGCTGAAACGAATAAGAAGCTCCTTCAGTCCGAAGAGGACTGATGCCGGGGCGAACAAGATGCACCTCTTGTCAAAATGATTGCAAAGGTGACGGTAGCACCGAATTCTAAGCAAACCAGTAAGAAGAAAGCGACGAGTGGATTTACAATGGTAATCCTAGTCGCAACGGAAACAACATATGCCGACGTATTGAGCAAACTTCGGAGAGAAGTGAATCCGGACGTCAGCCACACGCAGGTCGTGGGTGCAAGGCCTACAAGAAAGAGAGATCTCCTGATCAAAATCGGAGGAGACTCCAATAAGGAAGCATTCACGAAACCGAAGAGGACTGACGCCGAGACAAAGAAGAAGCAAGAGGAGGCACCACTTGTCAAACGATTGCAAAGGTGACGGTAACACCGAATCCTAAGCAAATCAGTAAGAAGAAAGTGGATCTATAATGGTGATCCGAGTCGCAACAGGAACAACGTATGCAGACGTACTGAGCAAACTTTGGAGGGAAGTGAATCCGAACATCAGTCACACGCAGGTCATGGGTGCAAGGCTACAAGAAAGGGAGATCTTCTGATCAAAATCGGAGGAGACCACAATGAGGAGGAATTCACTGTTGAGGTCACCAAAGCGGTTGGAAGCTTAGGGAACGTGCAGACCGTGGATCGACAGGTCAAACTGGAGATCCGCGACCTAGATTGCTTTACCCAGGAAGAAGAGGTCCAACAGGCGTTGAAGGAAGTGGTATAGAAGTCAGGAAGCAGGAAGGTAACAGTCCTAGGACCAAACCGACGAGGAATAAAGCTCGCAGTTGTAGTTACCGACCCAGACGAGGCGGACAGGCTGGAGAAATTGGGACGCATAAGGATTGGCTTTATGAGTTGTCCAATAAAAAGAACGGTGATTGTAGAGTTTGTAGCGGACAGATCGACTGCATGCTTCAAGTGCGGTGAATTTAATCATAAGTTTGCAAACTGCAGTAGAAGCCCAAGTTGCTTTTTATGTAGAGAAAATTATTGCGATAAGACCAAGAGTTATGCAGATTTTGCACTTCCCTCGTAAAAAAATATAAAAAAACTAATCAATAAAAGACCAAATTGTAATTGCATGAAGAAATTAAAGGTTACAATAAATATATTACATAATTATAATAAACCTTTTTATTATTAACCATTAACAATGAGTGAAATAATTATGAAAGTGAATATAATATAAAAAAAATCAGTAGAACACCAAATGATAATTGCATGATGAAATTAAAGGTTATAATAAATATATAATTAAAGTTATAATAAACATTTTTACTACCAGCTGTAAACAATGAAAAAATTAAAAATTAGTTATTATTAATATAAAAATGAATATCATAATTCAAAAATTGTTTTTTTAGAAGACCTAATACAAAAGAGTTCTATATATGATTATTAATATTTATTTATTCAGAACTATGTCACGGGGACGTAACACTGAATAAAATTTCTTTTATATTCTAAATTAATTTCGTTTATTAATAAAAAAATGTCATTCAAATATATCGTTCCTTTTCAAGCTCGAGTTTAATAAACTTTAAACTTTATACACTTAAACACGTGAAATACTTATTACAAAATTTTTGTTTTTCTATTTTGATATTGTCTACGCATAATCTTTCTCAAATATTTGATCAGTTGAATAATAATATGATAATCAAAGTTCGCAATATTTTATGTATGTCATTTTACATTTAAAAAATTTCATTTCTAAATTTTATTGTTTAAATAATTCTCATCATAATAAATTATTAAAAATTATTAAAATTATATTTTTGAATGATATTGACGCTAAGAGTTAAAAAAAAAATTTCATAATTTAAAAAAATTATGCCATTTTTCCACTAACTTTTTTTAATATAATATTAGGAAAATAAAATATTTTTAATGAATTTTTTAAAAACCAGATCCATACAACGCTTTAACGATACAAAATATTAACAAAATAAATAAACTTTATTTTTTTCTAAATATTTTATACTTAGTATAGATAAAAAACTGAAAAAGTGAAGTTATTATTTTTTTTATCAGATTTAAAAATAGAATTATAATTACAAAGTAGATATGTGAAATTGTTACAAAAAGCTATACTTCAAAAACCTATATATATTATTATTATTTATTTATCACAAAAAAATATAACTATTAAAAATAAAAAATATAATATTTAATGTTAAAAACTTTAAACTAACAAATTTAAAATAGATAAAATTAAAAAATAAAAGTATTGTGTAATTAAGCGAGTAATTATGTCAAGAGTATAAAAAGGCATAGAACAATTCTTCTTTACAATATATTCTTTAAATTTCCAAGTTATAATTTTTAAAAGTCAATCATGAAAGTTTTATCAACTTGTTTGGTAGCAGCAGTTTTAGTTATTTGCTGGGCTACATTTGGAGAGGCTGCGGGAGGAGCATGTAAGTCAGAAATAGAGTTTTAAAAATTTTAATTGAAAGAAAATTAAAAATTATTTTTGTTATTATTTTATTAGCTATACATAAGATGGGGGAAACAGGTGGAGCAGCAATACACAAACATTAGCGTGTAAGTATTTACATTAAAAATATTTTTAAGTTTGAAATAAAAATTTACCAAATTTGTTTTTATTAAAATTACCCTGGCGGATTAGGAATTACTTACTAATTAAAGTTTAATTTAACATAATTCATCAAATCAACTAAATATTAACTAATTTTGTATCATTTTTTCAACATAAATAAAAAATTATTTTTCTGTTTTTAAAATTAATTTTTCTCTGTTATAACACACTAATGCCATTTTTACAATAATTATTTATATTTAAAAAAAATTAAAGTTATAAAAAATTGCAACTAAACTGTTAATTTGTAATAAAAAATTTTGTTTAAAATTTATATTTAATACTTAATGCGAATAAATTTTTCATTTTAGGTAAAGATCTGTCGCCTTATTAAAAATGGAACTTAAGTTCCATAAAGAGGACACAATTTCTTCAATAGTTAATTGTGTATAAATATTTAAATGAATAAAAAAATTTAATTGAATTCATTATTTATTTTATCGTTTAAAAATATTCCCAAAACATAGATATGGATTTGGTCGAAAAACAACTTTTTAGGCACATGTTATGAGTCTAAAACAATGCACACGGAGAAAAAAGAATTGTTGTGGTTACTAAAAATTAAGTCCACACAACAATTCCAGATTGTCAATATAGAAGCAACAGTTCTATTTGTTTTTGGAACAAGAAAAAATTGTTAAAATGGGATTGTTATTAAAACTATTCGGATTGTTCTGTGAACAAACAGAATTGTTTGATGAACAAAGAAAATTGTTATGGAACAGTTGAAATAACATAACTAAATTGTTAAATCGGCAATACAAATTGTTGTATTAACAAAGCTTTGATCTGTCTAATACAATTTGTTCAGTTTCTTCGCCTTCTAAAATAATAGATATCAGATTTCCGTAGGTCACATCACCAATTTCATTTGCATTAAAATCTGTGGAACATGCAGCTTCTGAATCAAATTCTTTGACCTGAAAGCAAAAAATTATTTTTAGTTAAAATTTGTTGTTAAATAATATTTAATACCCAGTTGAAAATTCCGACTTCGTTTACGACGTCGTATTCTAAGTAGTTTGCGACGTAGTAAACGACGTAGTAAACGACGTAGTAAACGACGTAGAAAACGACATAGTAAACGACGTCGTAAATGAAAGCGGAATTTGGGATAGCAAACTACGTCGTTTACGATGTCGTTTACTACGTCGTTTACGATGTTGCAAAAATTATTTTAATATTATTTATTTAGTAATTTAGTAAGTCCAATATCCAATATTAAAAATTTTAATAATAATTTAAAAAATCAATAATTTAAAAAAAAATTTATTTTTATTATTTTTTAATAGTTATTATTATTATTTTATTTTTAAAATTTAAATTAAAATAAAAAAAATGGTCATCAAAATATTAGTGAAACCATTTCTTCCAAAAAAGAATTTGTCTCAAATCCAATAAAGGAGAGACATCGGGCAGAAAAAAATTTCGACAAAAAAAAATTTTTCGATCACTGCTTATATACCAATCTAATGGCACCTCAACTGCGAGAAACAGTTATGATGTTCGCCCTCCCTGTGGCGTTGAGCGAACTTAAGTCCAGAGCTGAGCCATCAGCGCAGCGCGGAAACATTTGAAAAATTTGATTTTATTAGATATTTTATTTTATTTTAAATATGACAAATAATTAACTTAATAAATAATTAATGTCATAAATAATTATTAATAACATAATGTCATACTTAATAATTCGTTAATTAATTATTTTTAACGAAAATTTGACAAAAAAAAAATTTGTTGGCCAAAAAAAATATTACCATTAAAAAATAATTTTTTTGTTAAATTTTCGTAGTAAAAAAAATTTTTTTAAGACAATTATTTGTGACCTAAAAAAATATCACGATGAGAATATAATTAACAAAAAAAATTACTTGTAGCACAGAAAAAATTTCACCATGAGAAAATAATTTTTTTAAAATTTTATTTGTAAAAAATTTATTGGTAGCTCAAAAAAAAATATCACGATGAGAAAATAATTTTTTGTCAAATTTTCTCTGTAAATAAATTAATTAATTAAATAACGTACCGTAAAACGGGGTTATTTCGCTCATTGCGGGTAAATTCGCTCACCCACTTTTATGCTTTATTTCAGCTTTAAAATAAAGTTTAATACCTTTATTAGCAGGTAAAAATGTTAAATTTGTTAATAGAAATACTAAATTTTAGTTTTTAATCAAATTTAAAGCAAAAAAATGGGTGAGCGACTTTACCCGCACTGAGCGAAATAACCCTGTTTTACGGTAATTATTAGTTACTTAATTTTTTACTACGAAAATGTAACAAAAAAATATTTGTAGCACAAAAATAATATCAAGATGAGAATTTTAATTATTTTTAAATTTTCTCTTTAAAAAAAACTATTAAAAAATAATAAAAATAAATTTTTTTTTAAATTATTGATTTTTTAAATTATTATTAAAATTTTTAATATTGGATATTGGACTTACTAAATTACTAAATAAATAATATTAAAATAATTTTTGCAACATCGTAAACGACGTAGTAAACGACATCGTAAACGACGTAGTTTGCTATCCCAAATTCCGCTTTCATTTACGACGTCGTTTACTATGTCGTTTTCTACGTCGTTTACTACGTCGTTTACTACGTCGTTTACTACGTCGTTTACTACGTCGTTTACTACGTCGTTTACTACGTCGTTTACTACGTCGTTTACTACGTCGTTTACTACGTCGTTTACTACGTCGTTTACTACGTCGTTTACTACGTCGCAAACTACTTAGAATACGACGTCGTAAACGAAGTCGGAATTTTCAACTGGGTATACATTTTGTATTTTTTAAGATGAGATTATGTTCAATAGTAACCGAGTATAACTTACCGATAAACAACGAAATAGTCTCTTCATCTATTCACTATAGTTACAATAGATTTCTCACTTTAACCGGATTTATTATTTATTTTATTTCATTATTTAACAGCACTTTGTCATTTAAAAAAAACTAATAATAAAAGCAAAAGTGGCACATGTGCCAGAAGCAAACGACGCGATGATCTGCACGCCAGTTTGAGAGAATTCAAGAGAATTTTATTGTTCCACGTGACATGGAACAATAAACCTGTCAGCTAAACAAATCCGGATTGTTCCATCAGCAATCGACAAAGAGTTTGCTTCTGCAACTGTACGGAATTGCAAACTGAACAAAACTTGTAGTGTTTATTTTCTATTACAATATTCTAGGATTCTTTTATAAAAGCTTATAGGTCAAAAATTTAATATTCGAAACAAAAAAATCAATTTTATTTAAAATTAATTATAATAAATCTTATATATTTTTTTTTATCACTCCACAAAAATAATATCATTTATAATCAATTTTATCTCACAATTAATAATTTGAATATTTATACATTACTTAAATTTCTCACTTCACTTGGCCGCAAGAGTCAATAATATTCTAATGAAAAAAGAAATCTTTTGACAACAGAAAAGAGTCACAACTTAAATAATCTTTCAGTAGTTAATCTAAAATAATTAACAGTCAAAAAATCAGTATAATACACAGAATATATCAAACATAAAATAAAACATCACACACAAATACATATATAAAAAAATGTGAGGTCGTTGACTTATCTTTGAGAGATATTTATATATATATATCCCTTTTTCGGTGATTAACAATAATTAGTAATTTCTGGAGATATGAAACTCGTATGCTACATCAATCCTTAAATACAGCGTCAAATACTTGACTGGAAGCACAAATTGCTGCAATGCAATCGTTTGTCACGATAGATAATTCTCCTTCAAATATTTCATTTATTTTCTTTTTTCTCCTTTTCAATTTTTTATCACCCAATATTCAAAACTAAAATTAACATTTTCCTTATCATTATAAATGAAACAAAATAGCATCAAACCATACAACTATTCATTCAATTTAATAATATCAACTTACCCCGCGAACGGGTGTTATATGTTCTCTTCAACGACCCACGTCGAATTAATCTCACAAATTCTCATCATACTCAATCCAATCGTCGACAATCCCCGACATTTTGGAAAAACTTCCCCTCCCAAAACTCATACTTTACACCATATATACTTATGCCCCTTACAAACTGACAACAAAATACGTGTCCGATTTTCGATATGATAAAAATTTTTTTCTTTAGGGACGAAAAAGTACCAATTTTTTGGTCGAAAAATCGATTTTTAGTTTTAAAAGCTCACCAATTGAACAAAAATGAATATTTTCAAAATCGGCCACGTATTGCTGTAGCTATTCTAATGTAAATTAAGAAAACAAAATTTATGTTGTTCTAGACTAACTTTTGCAACTTGTGTGCTGCGTGCAGTGGAGCTTCTCCAATAAAAACCATCTTCGAAAAACAGCCGTAACTCCGCTATTTTGTAACTTTTTTAAATAAAAAAAATATTTTTACAAACATAAAAATATGCCTAACAATATCTTTTAATTTAATTATCTTCCTATTTCTCCTTCTACGAAAAAAATAGCAAAAAAAACGTTAAATTTCAGCCTCCCACAGTGTTTTAATCCCTTAAGAATTAATAAACTATATCGAAACAAGTTTGAATAGAATAATGATGAAAAATAATATACATTCCATATAAAACCTCAATTCATATTTTCCTGAAATTAAAATTTATACAATTATTTGCATATATGTATATGACATACTTGATATGTGAATTAATATTAGGCATATATGCTCTTGAGGTATTACGAAAGTTTACCATTCACCGGAATAGGTCCTGACCCACGTTCTAATTATACAATTTACTATATTTGAAATTGGAGTAAATTATTTTTTTTAGGATTTTAATCAATTTAATAAAAAAGTAACAATCAGAAATAAAAAAAAAAATTTAATCTGAAAACAATGATTTTGATGTTTAAAATCGGAATAAATTTCAACTTATATTAAAATAATAATTCATGTTTGGAAATATTTTTAAACGTTAAAATAAATAATGAATTTAATTAAATTTTTTTATTCATTTAAATATTTATACACAATTAACTGTTGAAGAAATTGTGTCCTCATCTTTATGGAATTTAGGTTCCAATTTTAATAAGACGACTCATCTTTACCTAGAATGAAAAATTTTAATTAAGTATTAAATATAAATTTTAAACAAAATTTTTATTACAAATTAACAGTTCAGTTGCTATTTTTTATAACTTTAATTTTTTTTTAAATATAAATAATTATTGTAAAAATGGCATTAGTGTGTTATAACAGAGAAAAATTAATTTTAAAAACAGAAAAATAATTTTTTATTTATGTTGAAAAAATGATACAAAATTAGTTAATATTTAGTTGATTTGATGAATTATGTTAAATTAAACTTTAATTAATAAGTAATTTCTAATCCGCCAGGGTAATTTTAATAAAAACAAATTTGGTAAATTTTTATTTCAAACTAAAAAATATTTTTAATGTAAATACTTACACGCTAATGTTTGTGTTTTGCTACTCCAGGTCCTGCTTCCGCCATTTGACGTCTAACTAATAAAATAATAACAAAAATAAATTTTCATTTTCTTTCAATTAAAATTTTTAAAACCATTTCTCACTTACTTTGTGTTACTTTAGCCTCTCCTAATGTAGCCCAGCAAATAACTAAAACTGCTGCTACCAAACAAGTTGATAAAACTTTCATGATTGACTTTTAAAAATTATGACTTGGAAATTTAAAGAATATATTGTAAAGAAGAATTGTTCTATGCCTTTTTATACTCTTGACTTAATTACTCGCCTAATTACGCAATACTTTTATTTTTTAATTTTATCTATTTGAAACTCGTCATATTCAAGTTGTTAACATTGAATATTATATTTTTTTTATTTTTAATAGTTATATTTTTTTGTGATAAACAAATAATAATATACAAGTTTTTAAAGTATAGGTTTTTGTAATAATTTCATTATATCTACTTTATAATTGTAATTCTATTTTTAATTGTGACAAAAAAAATAATAACTACACTTTTGCAGTTTTTTATCTAATACTTACTACACAAAATTTAGAAAAAAATTTATTTTATTTATTTATTGGCATTTTTATAGACTAATCTGGAATTAGTCCGAAACAGTTCGACTTATTGTCACTTTACTGTCATCCGGAATTAAATTGGCTAAATCCACAATTTTTCCGATTTGTGTAACTACCCAGTAAGAAGTGATGAATTCAAAAGAATTGAAAAATTTTAACTTTTCATTGAAAGGGAGAAATTATTAATTTTTTTTAATTCTGTTTGTGTCCAATTCCTATGTATTCCCTGTTGAAACTAAAATTGCTTGAAACTCATTTCCTATCAATTCCTTTTTAATATTTCTCTAATTTTTTAATTCTTTTGAATTCCAAAATACTGAATAAGTAATTCTGACTAAATATTTCAGTTATACCTAAAACTCAATTCCTATCGATTCCATTTTGAGGTTTCGGTAATTGTTTAATTCTTTTTGAATTCCGTAATATTCTGAAGTGAGTACGTTTAAAATCAAATATCTACAGTGCAGTTGATACGGCTGCGCGAAACAGTTGTTTGTCTCCGACATTGAAAATCAAAAGTTCAAATCTTCGGACCGTCAAATTTTTTTCTGTACAAAATTTTAAAACGGAATTGAAAAGAATTTAACAAGCACTATTTTCGAGTACCCAAGATGAATACAAAAGAATTGAACAGAAGCGGAATTGAGAAGAATTAAAAATTTTTACTTCTTTTCAATTCCTCGCTTTTTACATGGGCAGTGAATCCGGAATTAATCAAGTCTAATCCGAAGCTAGTTCGATCAATCCAAAATAAAACGAAATCATATAGCTCAGAATTTCACCAAAGAATATTTTAATTACAAATAAATACCAGATTTTCCACCTAAAGATTTTAGATTATTACGAACTCATGTCAGATTCAGTATTTTGATTGTACTTTATCCGGATTGTTGTATAATATTATTATCAAATATTTTTTGTTTATAATCATTGACGTCATTTTAAGAATGCGCTTATGCAATAACAGAAAATAGGCTAGAAGAAAATAAAATTGCGAAATAAAAAAAGATTTTTATTCGAAATAATGACACGAATGAATTAAGTATAATTAAAAAATAGGCACATGAAATGTGTTTGTGTTAATATTAATTTTCTAACTTTACAAGTCTATGCGATGCTAAACATTAAGTTCTAAAGCTATTCTATAATTATGTTGATTAACTGCTTTAGTAGACTTAATACTGGCGGTAGGACGATCGCTTCCGATTTGTCGGTTGCAGCCTTTTTCCGGGAAGTCCTCGGGCGTACGGTTTGTGTGCGTTTGTTGACAGATAAAAGATTCCTCTTGCTCTATAATTTAGTGAAAGGATTTTATTTTTTTTAATTGTTCTTCAATGAAATTTAGAACAATTGAAAGTAAATTTAATGAGAACGACACAATTCGCAAATAGATTTTTTAATTTTTTTAAATTATAATTTTCTTCTTTAATTTTAAAAATTTTGAAATTAATGTTTTAAAAAAAATTTTTTTTAACTTACGAATGTGGGGTATCTTCTCCCATCAGAACGAGCTCCTCGTCTTTCGGGCTGCACCATCCTATCAGGTAGGAGAATAGGTTTCCGCAAGGCGCTGCCCAGAATCCTACCTTCGTCGTTATGGATTCGATGTAGTAAGGAGTGACTTTGGTGTGGTCGCAGGACAGAGTTTCTTACGCAAAATACAATATTTAAAAAACCCTTTTTTCATCAGTTTTCCAAATTCTTAAATTTTTTTTTCTTATAATTTCAAATATTAATTCCATTATTTTTCAAATCGACTCGATTTTTATTTTAAATTTGTTTTTTTTAACCCTAGACAGTAAAACTGGGGCAAAAAAGTACCCCGGGGAGAATTCAAACTACGGCCCTGGCTCTATAAGCATAACTGACATGGCGGCGTCCTAACCTTAATTGGTTAAATTTAAGTTCGTTAAAAAAAATTTTTTTTAGCATTGAAAAAATTTTGTTTTTAATACTTATAATTTTAGAGCATTTTTAGATTTTAAATATTATATTTTTTTTAAAGTATAGATACTTAATGGAAACATAATATAATTTGCAATTTATTTTTTGTTTGCAAAAGAAAAATAAAAAGTTAAAAACAAAAAAAAGATATTCGTCTTACGAAGTAGAGAGGTCGTAGCGCATCCGGGCTGACTTGATCCACCGTTCACATAAAAATCCGCGTGGCCATTTGGACCCCACTGTCCTAGGATTCCTGCTCCCGTGTGGATCACATCTACAAAATGAGCATCGGTCTCGTCTAAATCCATCGACCTGTTCCCATTCATATAGAAAAATATCGTAGGATCCAAACCTTGAAAAAAATATTCTAATTTACTTAAAATTTTTTTGAGAACGTTTAAAAAAAATTTTTTTTATTTCCTTAATATAGAGCTCATCGAGATGAGTAAAACGAGCCGTCACACTCCATATATATAAAACAGAGATTTTTTTAAAAAGAACCAAATTTTCAAAAAAAAATTCAAAAAATGGCTTCTTTTCATTTTTGAATTTTTTTAATCATTGAAAATATAGGTTGTGGGTACTCGTTAAACTCGTCTCGTTAAAATCTAGCTAATTATGATAAAAATTAGTAAAAAGAAAATTTTTTTTTAATCAAATATTGAAAATTAAACGTAAAATTATTACCCGTGATCCTTCCCAATTTGTCATCTGGTAAATAATTTGCCACAAGGCCAGCGATGTGAGCTCCCACACTGTATCCAAGTATGTGAATATCCTCGACACGAATACCCCGTGGATGATCCCTCAGGTATTTTACCAACTGAGCAACACATCGTGAACAAAAATCCGGTCCCCATCGTATTTGCGAAAGGCATGGCTCACGTACCAAAGAACCGTAATCGACAATAATTACGTTATAACTGCCACGTGTAAAAAAAGCTAAAATAAATATATTCCATCGATAAGAAATTAATAAAAAAATTTAATTTCAATTTAAGGAAATTTGAAAATTATTTAGTAATTAATAATTATTAATTTTTAATTATTTTTAATAAAAATTAATACAATTTTATTTCAGTTAAGGATAGAGGCACTAACATAACCTCAAAACTGAAAAATGGTTTCTAATGCAAACAAAACTTTTATAACAATTAATTTTAAACTAAAAATAATTTTTTTCCCAAAAGTGTAAAGATCTTGTAAAATTGTTTTTGAAATTAATTTTTTAAAGTTTTGTTATGCATAAAAAACAATTTTTCAGTTTTTAGGTTATGTTAGAGCGCCTTCATCTTGCTTAACCCTCTGCCTCTGTGATAATTTATTCCCACTCTAGCGTCATAGAACGTAGTTTCAATACTCCCCACCAGGCAGAGGGTTAATTAGATATAAAAAAATAGTTTTTTGTGAAATAAAAATTTACAAATTAGAATAAAATAAATTAGCAATGTTAATAAAGGCTAAAAATTATAATTAGAAAATATTTTATTTAAAAATATTTTTATATAAAAATTTTTTATTACCGTTTCGTAAATCTGTACTTGGTGCTAAATTTCTTCCGCCACCAAATCCGTGAATAATTATTTTTGTTGGATGTTTTGGATTAAAATGAGAGCGTTGTAGCGATCTATATTTTCGAACGTCCAAAAGTTCTGGATCTTTTTGAGTTTTTCTGTTAAAAAAACACAGTTTATTAATAATACTAATATTATTATTATCATTACTAGTAAAAAATATAAATTATAAATAATGAAAGAAAAAGTAAAAAAACATTAAATGTTATTACAATTATATATTAATTATTATTATTATTAATTTTAATTAATTAATATTTTTAAAAACGGTTTTAAAAAAGCAAATATTAATTATTACAGATTATTATAAATAATAAAATAATAATTAATAAAATAAAAAAAAAATTTAGGCAAACATTTATATAATTTTTTTAAAAATTATTTTTATATGTTTGAAAATATTAAACACACATACATAAACACCTTGAAAGGAGTGGAAAAGTCTAAATAGTAATTACTGTCCTTATAAATTGACGTTTTAGTAATAATTTACATACAAGTTTTTTTTTTTTTTTTTTAGTTTTTCAGTTACAGCGTGATGCAATGGTGTCAATGATACGAGACCTATGTAAACAGAACCGGCTTGACTAATTACGTGCAATCATTTTCCAAAAATTCTAAATAGTCAAATTAAATTATCAAAATAATATATAAATATATTTATAAAAAGGAAAAATAAAAATCTGTTTTGTTCTCGATCTGTTCAGAAGTGCAAATAAAAATTTATTGATAAATCAAAGTCGAATTAATAATAATAATTAATTATTAATTATTACCGGCAATAACTTAATATAACATAAAAAATATATATTCAGCAAAAATTCTAAAGGAATATTTTCAATGGTATTTTTTTTTAAATATTAAAATGTTAGAAAGAAATTTTTTCATGAATTGCAAAAAAAAAAAATATTAATATATCTAAATTTCCCTTGGAATTCTGTTGGATATTCCTAAAGAAATTTGACGGAAATCTTTCCACGTAAGACGATTTATAAATAAATAAAAATAAATTAATAAACAAACGAATATTAATATATAAGCAAATTTTTATAATTTTTAAGCTATAGTTCTTCGACATTTTGCTTTTTTCAAAAACCAAAAATTTTAGAAAGCAACTATTTCTAAATACTTTAAAAAAAACAAATAAATAGATTGTAGTTCACCCTGTGATTTTAATTAATTCATCGATTTTTTAAAATTTTATTTGCTTTAATGAATTCCATTACATTAATCTTTTAAACGTGTCCCGTTTTCCTGTTGTTTTTTTCTTAATTTAATATTGCCCTCATAACAAAAGGATATCCCTAGGATATCCATATCAATGGTCGATATCCTAGAATGGTCCCCAGGATATTTTGGGATAGGATAGGATATCCCTAGGATATCCAAACCGCCGGTCTGTGGGACATCAACAGGACATCCATAGGATATCCACAGGATATCCCTAAGACATCCACAAAATATCTATTGGATATTATATCGCAGGATATCCATGGGATATCCTCAGGATGTCCGTGGGATATTCTTAGGATATTCACGGGATATTTAATATCTCAACATATATTTTTAAAGGTTAAAATTGTTAAGCTAATATAATGAATAATAATATAATAAAAACAAAAATCTTATGTGCTTCTAATTTATTTTAAATGAAGATTTGAAACGCATTTTTCAAAGTTTTTAAATAAACTCATGCACTTAATGTATAATTAATATTAATAGTTATTCGTTATTTGCGGGGAAGAATTTATATTGTTTAAAGCCAATTTATTTTCTGACAATATTAAGCATATGAATAAAGGAATGAATCACGAATGAGAAAAAAATTAGTTAATAATTTTTCAAATTAAACAACTTTCTCGAAAAACAAGTTGCATTTTATTTTATTTATATAAAATTTAATTCACAGAATATTCTCACTCGTAGTCTCATAATGACTTTAAAAACAGTATCCTGAGAATATCTTCTTGACAGCCAGAAGATATACTGAGAATATCCTGAAAATATCTGTGGGATATCCTGACGATAGCTATGGGATATCCTGATGATATCTGTGGGATATCTGGAGGACATTTATGAAAGTCTATAGAGATATCCAGAAGATATCCAGTGGATATCCTCAGATATCTAATGAATATCCTCAGATATCCATGGGATATCCAATGAATATCCTCATATATCCATGGGATATCCAATGAATATCCTCATATATCCATGGGATATCCAAACCGCCGATTTTTTGGATATCCTTAAGATATCCTTTTGATATCCATAGGACATCCTTAGGATATCTGCGGGATATTATCAATATATTCCAAGATATCTTGTGTTATTAGGGTGATAACATTTTTTTAAAATTCAATTTAAATTAAATATGTTATATAAAATAATTTCTATTAATTAATTTTAATTTTAATTAATAGGTATCTTATTTAAAATAATTAATTAATTATTTAATTAATTTCTATTTTAATTAAATAGGCATCTTATTTAAAATAATTGCTTTTAATTAATTTCTCATTTTAAATATGTCAATTTTCATTAATTTCTTATCTGAAATAATTTCTTTTAAATCTGAGAACTATTTAAAAGTACAATTGCAACATCTCACAAAATTATACTTTTTATAAGAAAAAATAATAAATTTTTATAAATGTCAAGAAATTTTTTGATTTCGTAGTGGATAAGTAGGTGGGATTTTTATGCAAGTAGTTGCATATATCTACTTGTTAGATATCAGTGAAAGGTGATCGTCGAATTGAGGACACTTTCGGTCCAAGATGAACTGATCGTGATCTTGAAATCAAGCCGCGTTTACTCTCAATATATATATATATATATATATATATATGTATTTAGTCATAATATAAATAATATAGCCACTTGATTTCAGTTTCGTTAATGAAAATAGTGAAACTCTCATTTTCAGTTAGAAAATGCATCTCAAATAATAATTACTATTTATAAATTCAACTCTTCAAGGAAGACTTTCACTCTCTTTTATTCTTATAACAATTGTTTTTCCATTTCTCTTCCCTGTTTGTATAAAAATAAAATGCTATATATAAAAAAATAATAACTTTAAATAAATATAATAATTTTAATATAAAATCAAAAGCAGTTAATATATATATGTATATACAGAAGTTATTTCTATAAAATTAAAGAAGAATAGGACAGTCAAAAAAAAATTTACAGTCCAATTCCATTTTTTTTTTGTGATTTTTAATAATAATGATATTATTTTTAATTAAAAAGTTTTTTTTAAAAAGAAAGTGTGTTATTTATTTTTTTTTATGACAAAATAATTTTATTTTTATTACTTTGAATAATTAAAAAAATGCATTTGAATAATAATCAACTACAAGACTTAATTGCTATATGTCAAGTCTTTTATTAATTAAATAATAATTAATGAAGTTATTAAATTACAACACTAATTGGTTTTCTTTAAAATTATTATTAGAAATTATTATCAATAATTATTTAAATTATAATTATTATTAATTTTTATTAAAATTATTATTATTTTCATTGTTATTAATTATTACTACATTTATTATTATTAATTATTACTAAATTTATTATTATTAATTAATTTAATTATTTTATTATTATTATCCACCAATGTTATTTTAAGGACAAAATTTATTTTTATTTTTATAACATATTTATTTTATTTATTATATTTATTTTTTATTTATTTATATAAATTTTAGTTACTATACAAGTTGTCAATTAGTAAATAAATTACTTACCTTGTATATAAATAAAATTCAATTTGTGGATGAGGACACTTATAAGGAGGTTGTGCACAAGATGTACTGTTGAAAAGATCCTTTAGAGTTTTATTCTGTTGATTTTGAGCTGTTACACCGTCTATTAAAAAAAAATTTCATTTAAATTTTATTTTTTGTTTTCTATTTTCCAATTTTTTTTTTTTTTTCTTTAAATTTTTCCTTCTTACGACTTTTATTTATTAATATTTTTTCAATTTTTTAACTGTTTTTTATTTATTTATATATTTTTTATTTAATTAAAAAATTTTTTTTTCTTTTATTTTGTATTTTTAATTTTTTTAATTTTATATACTTTTATTTTTTTTTATTAAACTAAATAAATAAATAAATATTATATTTCTCACATAGGTAAAAAATTGTGATTGAAATAACAAAAAAAAATTAATTTTTGAATATTCAATATATAATTTTTTTTTTAATTATTAAAAACAAACTACTAATCGTTTGCGCTTGACCGACTTTTGATGTTTTTATTACTTAACAATTGGAAAATTTAATTGGAGCGCAACGAGAAATGAGAAAATAGAGGTAAAGGTCGACAAGTAATTTTTTTCCAACTTTTTTTTTTTAAAATAACAAAAACTCTTCATTCATATTTAGATTTTTTTTTATTTCTAAACAATCGCGGAAGTTAAGCAACATTAGTTTAACTACCTTGTGGGTGAGTGCTTCTAATTTTTTTTTTAATTTTGTATTATATTATTTTCGATAAATAATAAATTATTAAAAATTATTATTATTAGGTATTTATATTTCTATTCTATTATTTTTATTCTATTATTATTATTATTATTATTATTATTATTATTATTATTATTATTATTATTATTATTATTATTATTATTATTATTATTACTTTCATCAACAAATTTAATAAATATAAAATTTTTTCAATTTATTTCATTATAGTTAATTAGTTGACGAGGAAATTAATTCTGGGTGTTGTTTTTTTTTTTAATTAATTGGGATATTGTAAAGTTTTTAAATCTCTATTTTTATCTCCTGCAATAATTTCGAAATCGAGGACGAGCGCTTACAAGAAAAGGACTAAAGGTTAATAGCATCGATCTCTATATATATAGTTATGCAATTTTGAATATTTATATTTTTTTTTCACGGAAAGTTTTTGAATTTAATAATCACAGCTATTTTTATATTCCATTTTATTTTATCTATTTCAATTTGGACTTTCTAATAAAAAAAAATCTTTAATGCAATATTTATTATTAATTACTTTTTTTAAATATTTATTATTAATTTTTTATTGTCATTAATATTTATTATTAATTATTTATTTTCTATTGACATTAATTATTTAAATAAAATAACAATTAAAAAAAAAACATTTTGGTTTTATGTTCAAAAATTTGGTTAAGAAAAAAAATTCGATTCCTTTCGCTTTTATATAGGGGAAAAATACTTTTCCCCGTTGGATAATTACAAAATATATAAATATATCTACTTTCGTAATTGAGACTTGTCCGGTGAGGTGTCCAAGAAAGGAACTCTCTATATCAAAAAAAGGACTTATCCACGACTGATAGAGGCCATATGTATATACACACACTCTTCAAGTTACACATTTGTACGTTCATAGCATCGAAAGTTATCGCGTGAATAGGCAACAAATCACCGATTTCATCAGTACGTTGAAAAGTTAACTGCAATGTATTTCAAAAATTTGAACGAAAATAATGGAGGGGAACTATTAACTTTACATTCATAGAATTTTAAATTTTTTTCAATTTTTATGTACAAAAAAAATTTTTTTTTTATTTTTTCAATATAATAGAGAGAAAGATTTAAAAACAAAATTCAATTTTATTATTGTTTTCTTGGACAAAACGATTTTTTTTAAAAAGTGGTTTCAATGAATTGAGAAATAACAAGGGGAATCCCACATTGAAAATTTCTGCTATTTGGCGGGAAATTTGAATATTATTAATTCAAAAACAGCTAATTTACACGATGAACTTGAAAGATCGAATAATATTTATTATTAATTAATAATAATAACAATAATAACTATTATTATAATTATTATTATTAAAAAAAATTAAAGTAAAAAATTTTTTTTAGGATACTGATATTCTTTTTTTAATTATTGAAATTTCCGTCTGAAATTTGCAAACTATGGAATTTTTTTCAAAAATTACAATTCGTAAGAGACGTTACACTTAAGAAAAATTAAATATAGAAAAATTGTCCAAAAACGATTTTTAAATTTCCCGCCAGCGGTAAATTTGAATCTCCAGAAACGTTAACTTCTAATTTTCTTTATTTCGAAAAACGAAAACTAATAATCACAATTGTGACAATAATAATAATTATTGTAACATTTCTAATTGTTAAATTATTATTATTATTGTTATTATTATTAATTATTGAATTATTTAATTACTGTTAAATAAATTATATAAATAACAATGAAAATTGTTACAAAAATTAATAATTCTTTAAATCTTCTGAATTGTGAAAAAAAAATTGATTAAATTCAAATCTCCCGCGCGCGGTAAATTTAAAATAATTTTTTAAAAAAATGAAAATCGTGAAGAAAGAAAAAGAATTTTATACTTACTTTGCTGGAGGAATAAACCGACGATAAGAATGAAAAGAAAATATCCGACGACACTGACCGCCATCTCCCGCGCTCGCGTGGTTTATGATATAACATCGGACGCGTTGCCGGATGAAAAATCAGCAAAAGTGATTCCCGATGTGTGCTTGATTACAAAAAAAGACGGTTGTATAGGAGTCATAGGGAATTTAGAAAGTCCCTCGACTCGTCCGAATAGTGCGTTTTATTATTCACTGATTAATGTCTGATCAACGATTACAGAGGGATGGAACTACTGTATGTGTGTGTCCATGACCATTGACTTAATAAAAGTTTTTTTTTTTTTTTTTAATTTTTTTTTATTGGCGCACGCGACTACACCATCTCAGGCGTTTAATAATCTTCACCGTACATGTAAATAACAGAAGGTGTATTGTACGACAGACTGGACGAGCGTGCAAGCAATGCGTTATGAGAGAGTGAGAAAGAGGTGAAAAAAAGGGTAGGGGAGAGAGAGGAGATTCAGTAACATATATATTTGAGAGGGGAGACGTAAAAGTTTGTTTCCGAACTCACTTCTTTCTTTTCCGGAAGTTATTTTTTTTCTCCGCTCAGGATGCTGAGTTTTCAGTTTTGTAATGCCACATAGAAAAATATGTATAATCGATCTGTAATTTTTTTTTAATATTTTAATCCAAATACAAAAGTATGAAATAAATATATATTTTTAATTTAAAGAAATTTGGGCATTAAATTAAAAATTTATTTCTTTGTTTCAAATAAAAATTTTTATAAAATTAAAGAAATATTTTTAATAGTAGAACTATTAAGGAACTTTCGTTTAATATATTTTTTTTAAAATTATAATTCCAATTGATTAATCAATAAAATTTTATTTCCATTTCTGAACAGATCGAGAACATAACATAAATTAGTATTTGATTTTTGCAATTAATGAAAAAATTACTTTGTAACATTCCAATATTGTCAAAAAATTTTTTTCTCGTAGAAATATATTTTATTTGCACTTCTGAACAGATCGAGAACAAAACATTTTTCTTTAAGAAATAACAAATTAGTATTTGTTTTTTTTTGTAATTCATGAAAAAATTACTTTTTGACATTCTAATATTGTCAAAAAAAAATTTTCCCCGTAGAAATATATTTTATTTGCACTTCTGAACAGATCGAGAACAAACCACTTTTGTTTAACAAATATCAAATTAGTATTTGTTTTTTGCAATTCATGAAAAAATTTATTTTTAACTTTAACATTAATTAATTAATTTAACAACTAATTGTGAGAATTTTTAATTTCTTTGAATTTAAAAAGAAATTTCTATTTTTTTCGAACATAGAAAATTTTTTTTTAACTTAGAAAAATGTTTGTCTCAAAAGTAATAATTTAGACAATATAAGAACTTACGATTGATTCAATACAAAATTAAATTATTATCTACGTTTGAATTATGTAAAAGTTGGAAATTATAAAATTGAATAAAAGTAACAAGCGGAAAATTGTAAGCCTATTTTGAAATTAAAGGAAAGAAGTTAGCGAAATTATAAAATTAATTGAAATACTGTAAATTGTATGTTCTATGTAATGTTCAACTAAATGAACTAATGTACAAATTGTTAAAAAAAATTATTAACTTATATTTTTTATTTAAAAAAAATTAAAGAATTTAAATAAATTTAAAAGAAATTCAATTTTAAATATTTTAATTCAGATACATAATCTAATTCCATAATTCAGAAAAATTAAAAAAATTATTTAAATTTCATTATGGAATATTTTTATTAAGAACAGTAAAAAAAGCAAAAAAACAGTTACAGAAGGATATTTTCAATTTTTTTCATATTTCAAATATCCAAAACCAGATTGTAGTTTGCACTGTCACCTACTTTCAAGTAAAAGTATTTATTAACAACAGGAAGTGATTTTATATGTAAATGTTGGTCCTTCAATGCCAGGCACGAATAATTTGTCAAAAAAATTATATTGTACGTTATTTTTGACCATTATTTTCATTTATATTATTGTCACGATTTTTTATATAACACTAATACAAGGTTAATGAAATCAAAGACATGAAATTTAATAAATGCGAAACATTAATATATAAATTTAATATTCCATGTGTTACTTTTTCACAGTGTAGATTAGATTCTAAAGCTCAAGGATGTCAAGAATATAGTTGATTGAATCATCCTCGATATCTGTATTTATTGCAATAATTCTTACTTAAAGGCAATAAAAAGATTATAATTATTAATAATTTTTATCACTCACATTTGGGTCAGACACAAAAATTTTGAATATACGAAAATTTGTGTCTAAATGACCCAATGTGAGAAACGTTATTATAAACTCAGCAATCAATATTTAAAAAAATAGAATAAAAAATTTAATATATTTTAAATTACAGATTTATTATTTGCAATTTTGATTCTCCTCTATTATTATTGTTTTCGAAAATCTCTTTTTTTTAACTTCCCATTCCGCTGAGACACCAGATAAAAAGTATAATTGTCTTCTATATAGTAAACGAAGTATTAAATAATTTTGGACCCATTATATTGTCATCATATATACACTAAAATGAATATTTAACAAATATATAAGCAGGAAATGTGGAGAAAGTGAAATAAATGATTACGTTTCTGAGAGAATTAAATCCGTACATTCCCAAAGCATTGTATAATAATTGTTAATGACAGTGATATAAAATAATTATAAATCTGGTGTGTTCTCATGACAAGAATAATTTTTCTCATCGCGGGAAATTTAATAATATAATGAATTCGCGACAAAACTGAAAAGCAAATTGATTATTGTCCTTCTGATGGCGTAATTTTTTTTATATACAACGCATAATACACAAAAGGTTAATGTATTTTATATAACCTCTTAATTTGTGTAAAAAAAAAATAATTTTGCAACAAATTTGATATGAATTTTTTTTTAATTTTTAAAAACTAACTTGATTTGTTAGATATCAAAATTTAGGTTATTTTCTGTAATGTTGGACATAAGCTTTAAAAAAAAGAGTACAATATTGGTTAAAAAAAAGAATAAAAAAGTAGGACATATTTTTAAGTGCAATTTAAATAAGAAATTTAATTATTTTTTAAATTAAATCATATTTAGGGTATAACGGGTACAGTGACCGACACCCTATAAGCATACTTTCAACTTTAAATGACATTTTATCGGAATTTATTAAAGATTTAGTTTATAAAATAAATTTCAAATAAAAGATATTGGGTTAAAATTTATAGTACATACGTTTAAAATTAAAAAAACACTTTGATAAGAGTTTATAATATTAATTTAAAAATGTATGGTATGAAAACACTAAACGACACTCTATAATAAAATAAAAAATATTTAAACTACTATTTAAGTAATATGATATTTATTAATAATATCACAAATTTTATTATTCAGATTCAATGTACAAAAAAAGTTGCTTTTAAAATATAATTATTTTACAATTTTTTTCATATTTATAAAATTTATAATCAATATAGCAAATTTTTTGAGGTTAGTTTTCTTCGAAAGTGGAATATTGAGGAAAATATAAACATATAAAATTTTGTGTTAACTGTATCAGTTTCTAAATATTGTATATTAATTAATTTACTAGTGATATTTAATTTAATATTTTCTATAGTTATTATCGTTATTTACATTTAACAATCATAATATTCTCATTTAATTGTTAACACAAATTCTAATTCACAAGAAACATCGTAACATTCAGAACTAAACCAAATAAACGTTAAAGTATCGTCAGGGTTGGACAGTTAGCCAAGCAGAAAGTCCTAAATACATAAAGGTACAATCACAAATTATGAGCATGCATGAGTTATAAAGCAGCATTTGATTGATTGGTTTTACGCAGCAATTTCAAATTACAAAAACTGATTATAAGATGTCTGTAAAATGCATTTTTCATAAAAATGCCAAAAAACCACTATCATTATTACTAAAAATTGACACACCTTGCTCTAGTTAAAATTTAGTAACTTTATAGTAACTTTTAATTTTAATAATAAATTCACTAAATTTTCAATAGAGCAGGGTGCGGTAGTTGACGAGAATTATGACAAATGGCAAGTGGGGACGATGTCAATCATTTGTTAAGGCTTTTCTACAATACTTTCTTTACATCAGTAATTCTAAAAATTCCCTAGAAAATAAAATAACATAAAGTAACGAAACAACGATTGGTTGGTTACTATTGTCACCACTCGCCATTTGGCACCCTGTTCTATTTAAAATTTAGTAACTTTAAATTTTAATAATAAAGTTCCAAAATTTTTACTAAAGCAAGGTGTGGTAGTTGAAAACCAACCTAAAGTGACAAAAATTTCATTAAATCAGGGTGCGGCAGTTGACAAAAAACTATAATAAATGGCGCGTAGGGACAACAGCATATTTCCTTTATTTTTCTGAAAAACAATGCAAATTTTAATGGTGGGGGGTAATATACGTTAAATAGATACTCCGAGCCACAAAAGCCTATGATAAAAGTCTGACATATGAAGTAAATTTATATGCTTGTCATAAAATTTATTTCAATAACAATAGGTTAATCAAAATTGTAGCGTATAATTAGTGTCTTTAATAAATTATGAGAACTGTAATTTTTTTTTATCTTTATCATATAAAAGTAAATAATACCTTTAAATTTTTTACAGTTTTTTTTCAATCAACTAACTTGTAAGTTTGCAAAAAAAAGTTCTTTATACAAAGGTAGTTATGTATTCCTTAACAATAAAATTACTTTTTATTCTATTCCTTTGTTTTGCATTAACATCAGCCGCTGCCGCCCCACCCAAAAAACGTAAGATTTTTTTTAATTACGTTATTATAAATCTAAATAATAGCCAATAAATACAATAAAATTACTTCTAATTCTATGTCTTTGTTTTGCATTATCAGCAGCCGTCGACAAAAAAACAGCTAAAAGTAAGATTTTTTTTAATTACGTTATTATAAATCTAAATAATAGTCAATAAGTACAATAAAATAACTTCTAATTCTATTTTTTTATTTTGCATTATCATCAGCCGTCGAAGATTACACAAAAAAGCGTAAGATATTTTTTAATTATATTATTATAAATATAAACAGCCAGCAATAAGCAAATAGAAAAAAATATATTTATCATTAGATTTTTTTCAACTTTATTTTTTCGTTACAATCTTTCAATATATATATATTTATAAATTTAAATTACATATTATTTTTAACACTATTATTTTATTTTTTATAGTTTTAGGCCTCATGAAGAAAAATAATGTAAAACAGTAGGATACATTTCTAATGAGAATAGTAGAAAAGGAAGCTTATTGGATGAACGGCTTAACTTTTAATAGAGCAATGATAAAATTGAAAATGGTTACTACGTGAATATAAATAAAATTATAATTTTTCAAATATAAGTTTACGTCTGTTAAATTTGTTACCTCAAAATTTATGAAAAATTATTTTTGAAATATATTATAAATTTAAAATATATAATTCTTAAATAAAAATTTCATTACTACATATGTATGTGTAAATAATTTTAATAAATGATACTGCGTTTGTCATAATTCTCGTCAACTACCGCACCCTGCTCTAGTGAAAATTTAATGATTTTATTGTTAAAATTAAAAGTTACCATAAAGTTACTAAATTTTCACTAGAGCAGAGAGCGGTAGTTGACGAGAATTATGAAAAATGGCGAGTGGGGACAATGGAAACCAACCCAAAAGGAATACTCTTTTACGTACCGATCCCTGCATTGCAGGTTAGCTCTGTTTATTCGTGAAATGTTTTTTGACATTTGGAAAGTTTTCACATATTGTTAAGACTAATTAGTTTGAAATACTTTTTACTAAAATCTAACAGAAGAGAAATTATAAAAGCCATAACCACTAGTTTCAATATGTACAGAGATATAAAATTTTTTGAGAAAGAGAAAAAATCTTTTAAATTTGCTTTCCTTATTAAAAAATTTGATAGAAAAAAATTTAATAATTTTCAATACGTTTTTTTAATCCGCAATTTTGTATATATTCCATAAGACACTATCAATAATTTTATATAGAAAGTCTATGAAAATGAAAAATGCATCTAGTTAAAATTTTAGTTAGGGTACGGTCACACCTCGATAGATATCGAGGCTACCTATCTATCATATATAATATAACGTATAAGAGTGTTAGAAATAAAAAATGTTCTTATATCTCTCACTCTTATACGTTACATTATATGATAGATAGGTAGTCTCGCTATTATCTACCGAGGTGTGACCGTACCCTTAAATTCTAGTTAATATTAAAAGTTACTATAAAGGTTGGTTTCCCTTGTCACCACTCGTCATTTATCATAATTCTCGTCAACTACCGCACCCTGCTCTTGTTCAAATTTAGTAAGTGCTAAGTTCCCAAATGCGCCACTGGACAAATTATTTTAATAATAAAGTTCCAAAATTTTTACTAAAGCAAGGTATGGTAGTTGGAAACCAACCTAAGGTCACAAAAATTTCATTAAATCAGGGTGCGGCAGTTGACAAAAAATTGTGACAAATGGCACATAGGGTTAACGGCATCTTTCCTTTCTTTTTATGAAAAACAATGCAAATTTTAATGGTGGGGGGTGATATACGTTAAGGGTACGGTCACACTATCTCATCCATGCACTGTGCATGAATGCAGAAACATTTGTCCGGTCACACTTTAACGAAATCTAGTAAATGTTTAGTAAATTTCTAGTTCTAATTTTTGGAAAATTACTAGAAAGCTGCTAAACATTCACTAGATTTCGTTGAAGTGTGACCGACCAAACGTGTCTACATGCATGCACATTTAATTTTTGTCTTTTAAATTAAAAATTAAAAACTTTAAAGGCTGCGCAGTAGTTTTCTTAAGCCTTTACAGCTGATCAATAATTTTTAGTATGCATAAGTGAAGAGTCTTAAATACTATAACTATTAAAATTTCAAATTTTTTTCAAAAAAACATTTTTAAACAAATGTTCTTGTACAAGAAGATAAACGTGTTCATGTAAAAGTACTTGTACATGAAACCTGCACAAAAAATATGTACAAAAACTTGTACATTTTCTTCTGGTACATGAATATGTCTAAATTCCGGATGCTGAACTTGTTCAAGAACATTACTTGAACATGTACAAGAAAATGTACAAGTTCATTAATGAACAAGTACAAGAACTTGTATATTTTTTTGTACAAGTTTTTTCAGATGGGAATTGATATGCTTGTCATAAAATTTATTTCAATAATAATTTATCAAAATTGTGGCGTACAATTAGTGTGTCTAATAAATTATGAGAACTGTAATTTTTTTATCTTTATCATATAAAAGAAAATAATATCTTTAAATTTTTTTTTAGTTTTTTTTTCAATCAACTAATCTGTAAGTTTGCAAAAAAAGTTCTTTATACAAAGGTAGTTATGTATTCCTTAACAATAAAATTACTTTTTATTTTATGCCTTTATTTTTCATTATCAATAGCCGACAAAACCAAAGGTGAGAGTAAGATTTTTTTAATCATATTATTATAAATCTAAACAGTCACTCTCTAAATCTGAATTAGTAACACTGTTTACTAATTCAAGTGACTCACTTTTTGCTTTAGAATTAGTTAAATTTTACTAATTGTTAGTAAAAGTTACTAATAATTAGTAAAATTTTACTAATTGTTAGTAAAAGTTACTAATAATTAGTAAAATTTTACTAATTCTGAAGCAAAAAGTGAGTCACTAATTCAAATTATAGTAAACATTTTCACTAATTCAGATTTAGAGAACAGTAATAAGCAAATAGAAAAAAAAATATATTTTATTACATTTTTTAGAACTTTATTTTATGTTACAATCTTTCAATATATATTTATAAATTTAAGTTACATGGTTTTTTAATATTTATTTTATTTTTTATAGTTAAAGAAATCTTAAAAAAGAGAGCCAAAAAATTTCAGTAGGATACATTTTTAATAAGAATAGTAGAAAAGGAAGCTTATTGGATGAATGTATTAACTTTTAATGAAGCATCGACAAAATTGAATATGGTTACTATGTGAATATAAATAAAATTATAACTTTTCAAATATAAATTTACGTCTGTTAAATTTGTAACCTCAAATTTATGAAAAATTATTTTTGAAATATATTATTATAAATTTAAAATAAAAAAATTCTTAAATAAATAATGTAAATAATTTTTAATTTAATTTTCTCGTCAACTACCGCACCCTGCTCTAGTAAAAATTTAGTGATCTTTTTGTTAAAATTAAAAGTTACCATAAAGTTACTAAATTTTCACTAGAGCAGGGAGCGGTAGTTGAAGACAATTATAAAAAATGGCGAGTGGGGACAATGGAAACCAACCCAAAAAGAATACTCTTTTACGTACCTATCCCTGCATTATTAGCTCTGTTTATTCGTAAGATGATTTTTGACGTTTGAAAAGTTTACAAATATCTTTATGACTAATTAGATTGAAATACTTTTTGCTAACTAAATTTCAAAAAGATATGTACAAAGATATAAAATTTTTAGGGAAAGCAAAAATTAATTTAGAGGTTATATTTAAAAAACTGCATGGATCTACATTTTTTCATATTGTAAATACATTTTATTATTAATTTATTATAAACAATATGGATCCAATATGGCACAGAATTTATATTAAAAACCGTTTAAATTTGCTTTCTTTCTTAAAAAAATTGGTAGAAAAAAAATTTAATACTTTTAAATCCGTTTTTTAAATCCGCAATTTTGTGTATATTGTATAAAACACTGTTAATAATTTTGTCTAGAAAGTCTATCAAAATGAAAAAATGGATCTAGTTAAAATTTTAGTTAAATTCTAGTTAATATTAATAGTTACTATAAAGGTTGGTTTACATTGTCCCCACTCGTCATTTGTCATAAATCTCGTCAACTACCGCACCTTGCTCTAGTTAAAATTTAGTAACTTTATAGTAACTTTTAATTTTAATAAAAAACTTACTAAAATTTTTACTAAAGCAAGGTATGGTATTTGGAAACCAACATGAAGGTTGGTTTCCATTGTCCCCACTCGCCATTTGTCATAATAATTCTCGTCAACTACTGAAAAATAATGCAAATTTTAATGGTGGGGGGTAATAGACGTTAAAAAGATACTCCGCGTCACAAAAGTCTATGATAAAAGTCTGACATATGAAGTAAATTTATATCCTTGTCATAAAATTTATGTCAATAATAATTTATCAAAATTGTAACGTCTAATTAGTTTGTCCACTTAATTATGAGAACTGTAATTTTTTTTATCCTCACTAGCAAAAGTAAATAATACCTTTAAGTTTAAAAAAATTTTTTTTTATTGACAAATTAAGTTGACTACAAAAAATTCTTTCTACATATAGTTAGTTATGTATTCTTTCATAATAAAATTACTTTTTATTCTCTGTCTTTATTTTGTATTATTATCAGCTAGAATTTCCAAAGAAAAGCGTAAGATTTTTTTTAAATTATATATTATTATTAATATCCAACAATAAGCTAATAGTAAAAAAAATATTTCATTAAATAACCAAATTAATTAAAAATTTACTATATATAAAATATTTTGCGAATTTTATTTACATAAAAGATGATAATAACTAAAAGTTAGATTTTAACAACTTTATTTTTCGTAACAAACTGTCAATATATTTATAAATTTAAGTTATGCTTTTTTAAATATTATTTTATTCTTTATATAGTTAGAAGGCTCTACAGACGAAGAGGCAAGACATTACAACTGTAGCATACATTTTTTATAAGAATAGTATAGAAATGCAAACTTATTGGATTTAGTTTTAATAGTGCGATGACAAAATTATAAATACTTACTGTAAATATAAATAAAATTATAATGATAATTATTTAAATATAAGTTTACATAAAATTAAATTAAATTTTTAACTTCAAATTTATTAAAAATTATTTTTGAAATATATTATAAATTTACAATATAGAATTCTAAATTAAAAATTTCATTACTATATATGTATGTGTAAATAATTTTGATAAATGATACAATTTTCATAATTAACGAGATTCAAATTCAAAAGATCCTCGCGCCACTTCCAGTAGCAGACGAGAAACGAAAAATCATTCACCAATCAGCGTGCAGCGTTTAATATCAAATATACGGTTGGTTTTCTTTGTCCTCTATAAGTTTTTCATCTTTGTCGCATATTCTCTGGTTACTTTCGATTCTGCATCAAATGCTAAATTCTCCAAAAATATTGTAAGAAGTGCTGTCAACTATGGTAGATATATATTTTTAGACAATGATCCTCTGAATAAAGGGGGGGGGGTCGCTGATTATAAATATGAAATCAGATTTTTAAAATTCAAAATGGCGGATTTATAAAAAAGATTATATAAAAAATATTTTTTTAATACACTGTAATAAAATTTATTTAATTCAAATAAATAATCGGTTACTTGGTTATTATCAAATAAATATTTACTTGAATAAAATATTTTTTATTTGAATCAATTGAATAGTATTTGTTTTCAGAAATTATTGTTTCAAATACAGTTTATTTGATGCAAATAAAAATTATTTGCTTCATGTAAATATTTATTTAATAATAGTCAACTAATCGAGTATTTGAATCAAATTTTTTTTTCATCAGTGTATTGAAAGTTGGAAATATTTATTTCAATTTATAGAATACTTTTCTTCTGTATAGTTTTTGACATTTAATTTTCTCTTATAATCGATTGTTTTTCGAAAGTCATGATGATATTAAGTTTTGTTGAATTATTGTTCAATTCCTACCAGGGAGTAGTATAAGGAGACCGAACGCCATGCGCGGAAAGTGGCCGCACTTTTGGTGATCGTAATTCTCATGGGCACACTTCTGTCGATATCAGCGCTCTTAGTGTAGAAAAGTGGCACTATTTGTCGTCAGCTACTGTGATTATTCAGTGCACATGTTGTTTTCATTAGACATTACACTTCACAAAATATTTTATTTTAAGCGTGTTAAAATTTTATCACAATTCAGTCGTAATTTATTTACTAAACGATAAACCGCACACGATAAACAAACTAAAAAAGCAGAGGTTATATCATGCTTTCTTGTTTACAACGATAGTGTCAGCCTCTCCGAGTGAGGCGCTGCTATCGATAGAAGTGTGCCCATGGGAATTACGATCACCAAAAGTGCGGCCACTTTTGACGCGGATTCATAATGGCCGTTCGGTCTCCTTATACTACTCCCTGATTACTACAATAAAAATTTATACCATTCACTGTTTTTCTGAGGTTAAGTGGAAAGTTTCTCTGAGATAGTTTTGTTGGTAGTTAAAGACTTCTTTCTTCCAGAAATTCGATTTCAATTTATTTAAATTAGTCACTCATATTTTTTAAATAATAAGAAATTTATATATTTTTTTAAGCTTTCTAGAACAAAAATGTACTTAAGGCTGCTTCTGCAATAACTAAATTGCATCGTTTTGAAGAAGATGCGCGCGCATCCATTGCCAACAGTCGACAAAAAAATTGTATGCCATATTGTGGAAGGAGCCTTACATTCAAAGAAAGGTAAGGGTACGGCCACAGCTCAGCTATCTAAGTAGGGTTGTCATAGTAACGTATAAGAGTGAGAGAAATAAAAAATGTTTTTATTTCTCTCACTCTTAAACGTTTACCATGACGATCCTACTTAGATATAGCTGAGATATGGATGTACTCTGATTTTTCACTAAATTAACGATTACAAGACTCTGTTATGAGATAGAGACTTAAAATTTTGCTTGGTCTTGTATTTTTTAATTTAAAAATTATTTGTAAAAAATTTAAATCAATTTGTTAATCATCTAATCACCTAAAAAATTGTCCCTGACGTAGAATCCTCCTAAAGTGATGAAATGTAAATTTTTTTTTTATAACTATAATAAAATTTGAATAGTATCCGCTCTTTTTTATGTTAACAACAATATTTATTACATAATAATTATACGATATAATAATAGTAATAACCTCTATAGATTTACAGTACATCATTCGCCCTAATCTCAATACAATATGTTTTATGGAATGATTATACAAAGATTTTGTTGATACGCATCATAACCTCGTCCTCATATTCAGCAGGTTGTTGTTTATCAGGCGTTCCTGCATTTTTCATAATACATGATTTCCCTTCAGCAAAATAATAATAATAATAATAATGCAATGCGCGCGAATCTATATCTATCACGCTATTAGAAAGATGAATATTTTTTTTGTGCATGATGATCGGATCTTTGGGAAATATATGAAAACCGCTGATGACAATGAGAGATGAATTTTTTTTACATCCAATTGCATAAATACTATCCTTCCGGTTTGACGATTGGAAGGTTTGTCCCCATTCGTCATTTGTCATAATTCTCGTCAACTATCGTACCCTGGTCTAGTGAAAATTTAGTGACTTTATAGTTCAAATTAAAAATTACTATTAAGTTAAAATTACTAGAAAGTTACTATTTTATTGTTAAAATTAAAAGTTACTATCAAGTTACTAAATTTTCACTACAGCAGGGTGCGGTAGTTGAAGAGAATTATGACAAATGGCGAGTGGGGACAAACCTTCAAATTTTGAAATGTCGTGACACTTGTATAATAATTTTATTAGTTCATGGCGTATTTCTTAAAGGCCAACGCACAATAAATTCGTGTATTTCGATAGTGCGCTTTGTTCATGTCGATGGAAAAAAGTTATTGTAGAAACAGCTTTACACCCTACGCTACGAACTAATAAAATTATTATAGAAATGTTATGACTCGTCAAATCAAAAAGACAGTGTATGCAATTGAGTGTTATACAATAAAAATTTCGAATTTTTTTATAAATCCTCATTTTCTCAGCGGTCATAGTGATCAAAATGGCGCAACTATATATATATAGGAACAAACATTTTTTATTTCACAGCGATGAACTCATTATACAGCGAAACGGGCTACGATTAATGGGAATGATTTAATCATCTTTTTTTTCGGGTGGGGGAATTTTTTTTAAATTACTAGATTCTCTTGTGTGGCATTATTTTAAACTTTCGTGTTCTTCTGCCCAAGTTGTGCCAAATTCTTCCTTTTTCAATATCGACCATTTTTTTTTATACATTAATCTTGACTGCTTTAAAAAGATATATATATATTTTCTGTCTCAGAGAGAAAAAATTATTTATACAGCAAGTATTTTAGGCGCATTATGATTTTATGATTGTGATCAGCTGTCACCAGAAGGAGGCGCCATTTTCGGCAGTAGAACGAAAGCAGCGAGCAGTGTATGTGTGTGTGTTTGTGGACATTTTTTTCAGAAGCATATTATAATAACGACGACATTATTGTAAATCTCGAAAAAAAAACCAAAAGATTTACAAACACCTTCCTTTTTTTATTTACAAGATCCGTGCTCTAAAGTGCCATAACCTCGGGTATACAATGACAAGTTAACCCCCATTAAATATATATTTATAATATAATATGCGTTTATTATATATATATTAGTTTTAAGTAGCATTTAACGTTATGGGGTATCGGTCACTTATATATGTATACAATATGCAGGTCGCTAATCGATCATTGATAAGTCTCATGTGGCGATTAGTATGAATTAGGACCGGTTGGGTGGGGGAGGGTACGTAATTATATTAGGTACTATCGTATTATACTTAACATTAGTCATTAATTTATATATGCCATGAAAACGTACTCGAGGAGTGAATATATCTCTGACGTCAGACAGGCCTTTTGGTAAACGATGCTGTTTTTTTTTTTTTAGAAATGAAAGCTACTTTTATTTACGAAAAAATAAAAAAAAAAAGAATTTTATTACTTTTCCTAGATTTTTTTTTAAAAAGATTTATTCCACTTATTTGTTATAAAAAGCACAATGAGAAGAGGCATCGAGGTACGTTTTAGGCACGTAATGTGAACGCGTTGGAGCACCAATAATGGACGTTGCGATATCTTTCTTTTTTTTTTCGTTACAAACATGGCAACCAAACTAATCTGCTTAAAGCAGAATGAAATTTCTAATTGTAAATTTTAAGCTTTTACATGAGAGAGAAAAGGATAGAAATATCTTTTGTCCTTTTCTCTCTCATGTAGAAGCTTAAGATTTACGATTAGAGATTTCATTCTGCTTAGGCCTAATAAAGTCGTTTGCTCATTACAAAGTTGTAAACAAAACAAGTTTCTAAAAAACGACAGAACAAACACACCTGTTTTACGTGCACCTTTTAATTGCAATTTCTAACCAATCAGAATCAATGAAACTAAACTATACTTTTATAAGCAGGTTGAGAACCTTTTCGTACTCATAGCGAGAATCTGGAAAACGCCTACTCCAAAAAGTCATGGACAGTTAACCGTGAAAAAGTTTTGTTAAATGCAATTATATATTAGTAAGTAAATATTAATTATTATTCAAAAATGTTGAATGAAGAACTAGTGCAACTTTTCCGAAAATGGGATATTAACGCTTCGAAAGTTGATATAACGAATTCAGTTTCGCACACTTAACCTAAAAATGAAAATTAAATATTTGATTATTAGAACAAAATTTTTATATAAAATGAAATATTAAAAATAAATTTTTTTTTTATAATTACTTTGCCGCATTTCATAAATTTTTTTTTTTTGCATAAATATTTTAAAACATTAACGAAATATTTAGTCAGATATCGCAACGCCAGTGCCGAGGAAGACGCGAGCATACCTTTTTTTCTTATGAGTGACATCTGACGGCCGAGATAACTCTCTTCAAGCACGTTTCGCTAAATGCATCATTTTTTTTTTTCATTCTCACGCTTTTTATTTTTGCATTCGCTCTTCCTCTCTCGTTTCTTTTTTTTACAAACTTATTACACAATCATTCAAAAACTTGGAATTTCGGGTTTAATTATATATTATATTTGTATAATGAAAATGAAAAAGAAAACCCAAAGCACACTACAAATCTTCTTTGATATTTGCTGTTAAGAGCAAAAAAAAAAATCTATAGCTACCGACTATCTCTAGACTTTTGGTCTTCATTCCTTTACTCTTTCGGAATAGATGTTGTGCCTATATAATGTTTAATTATTATTATTATTATTAATGATTTATTTCAATCATCAATAATAATAAAAAAAATATATATTTCTTAATGATTAGAGAGAGAGAGAGGACGGATCTTGTCTCTCAGCCTCGCTCACTTTTGGTTGAGAGTCACTGATTGCCTCAACGAATTTTTTCTTTTGACTATTTTCATTGTTCCACACCCTTAAACTTTACCTTTTCCAATCTCAATTTTTTTTTTTTGCAATTCAAAAAAAATTTTCTTTCACCCAGGAAAAGGTAAAGTTGGTTATTTTCCGAAAAAAAAATTTTTTTTCAGAAAATAATAACTCTCCACTCAATGGACGGAGTTAGAAGAACAAATCCTCCCTCCGATGGACGAATGAAGAGCGCACGATTTTTTTTTTATTAGAGCAGAGTTGAAGACTTGGAAAAAAAATACGGATAAAAATGTAGCATATGTTTCTAGATTTGTATAAATGGATATTTTTTTTTGTTTATTTTTCTACGACACGATTACGTAATTTTTTATTTCTTTCTTTCAAATTTGCGGCACACACCTAGAAACGAAATTATTATCATAATTATTATTAATAATATTATTATTATTATTATTGATGCAATGATGTGTCTACAAAGCGAGGCTAAAAGTGAGTCTGATTCGATGTCACGATTATTCCGAAGCGACACAATTTCTCTAAGTTATATTTTTTTTTTTGTCTTTAAGTACAATGCTGCCGGTATTATGACGTTCGATTTTTTTTTTTATTATTAATTAATAAATCTCACGCGATAATTTTAATTGGTCCTGGCGAACGAAAAAAATGAGAAATTTGATTTTCATTAACTTTATAACTTCTCAATTCATATATATATATATATTTATATGTTCGGCGTAAAATTTGATTTTCTTTCAAAAAAAAAAACAAATTGAAATATACATTCCCTCACGTTAGTTGTATTAAATTCTCAAAAAAACGGAATTAAAAGTAGTCCATTTTTCTTAGAAAAAGGACATTAAAGTTGCGAGGTGATGAATTTAATTCAACGGAAGCCATCTTTTTTTTAGTTTATGGTTCTCAATATACTTCCCTCTATTTTGATATTTTTTACTCTCTCTTTACACGACTTTGTTAAAATCAACAAAACAGAAAATACAAAAAGAGTATTCGCAACTAAAAAGAATTATTGCCAATTCCGATTATGATGATTATTGTATTTTTTTTGTCTTATTATACATCCACCCTTCTTGCATATAAATCAGAATACAGTTTTTTTCAAATTTTTTTTTTTTTTTTGAAGGGGAATATATTTACACGAGCGATGAGCATGCAATTTATAAATAAGGTACGTATCGCAATAATTATAAATACCATTAAAACAATAACAATATCTACACTAGTTTCTTAATCGCATATATTATAGAAATTAGTCGAATAATAATAAATAAATAATTATACGATATTTTATTTTTTGTCGATTTTTTTTTTGTTATATACGCTAAAGATAGCGTATTTATCTCACTTATATATCTTACCGTAAATATTACATATCCGATAAATTTCTATTTTTTTAAAACACTCCGTTTTTTGGTAAATATGTCCGATTTTACTTTAAAAATGTAAAATACATTTACTCTAAACAACGATAATTTGATAAAATTTATATTTAATGAAATAATCACAACATGCGCAGTCAATCTGCGCAGTTGTCACAGCTGCGTAGTAGATCTGCGCAGTTGTTACATCTGTGCAGTAAATCTGTGCATTAAATAAAAATCATAGGAACAATGTACAAACTTAAAATTATTAACAACAAAAAAATCTTATTTCAAATCAGACATTCTTTACAAAAAACTTGATATTCTTTTAATTAATTAACTAACTTCGATCTTAAGATCAAAATGAAAAACTGCATTTTATTTTTTTTTTCAATGAAATTTGTAAAAATTTTTTTAAGTAAAAATTAAATTAAATATATATAAATATGATTCATATTGATCTTAAGTAATCGATTTTTATAATTATAATCTTCATATATATAGAATTTTTTTTTCTTAATCGTTATTCGGTTAATACCGAATTTTATTTTTTTTTTTTATGGAGATCTGAATAGGTAGGCCAGTCTGTGTAAGTGTATAAATCCAAACGACAAAACTTGTTGTTTTTTGTTTTGAATTATGTTTAATTTCTGACTCTGTCGGAAATCACTGGAATAAATATATATATATATTTAAATATATATGTATGTCACTTCAAAAGGGTTCTGTGATCGTGAAAATCGATCGTTAACAGTGTATTTCATTTTTTTTTTATAATATATAAGGGATGAGTGTTTTACAACGAAGACATTTGCAAAAAAAAGCATTGTTCTTTTGCGGTTTCAATTTTTTTTAGCATTTATGTTTCTGTGTGTGTGTGTGTTTGTGTGTATAGATTTTTTTTTATCTAAAAATTACCATAAAGAAAAGACGTTCAAATTTCAAGATGTCGGAAAACACATAGCGAATCGAAGATAAAATTTGAGCGTTTCAAGCTTGTGCGAGTAGGTGGAATAATCTTTTTTCCAAAAAAACTTTCTCCATTCAGCAAAATTATTTTTAGCAAAAAAAAAAAATAATAAATTCATGTTAATTATTGAAAAAAAAATAGTTGTAATTTGCAAGTGAAGTGGAAATTAATTAAAATTCTCGCTACTAGATGTCGCGAAGTGTGTTTTTACTAGTCGCACAAGCTCGTTTTTTTTTTTACTAGAATCACGAACTATATTAAACATCGAAAGATGATTGATATACAATGATTTCTAAGGTTGTTGTTTTTTTTTTTGTTGTGAGAATTTATAAAAAATTCGTTATTTTTCCGAGCTTTTAGCAATGATGATATTAAATGCACAAAAAAAGTGCAGGCGTCTTTTTTTTTTTCTTTTATTAGGGAACAAAGTGAAGTTGAACGACTTCGCGCAAAATTTCAATGCTTTTTGCGAGACCCTGTCTTCGAAGCGGTCGCAACGGCTTTTTCATTATTTTTTTTCAAGTATAGCCCCTTTTTTTGAAATCATTCAACAATTATTCTACAGAGAAAAGTATAGTAGATATTAGTATATGTATATACAAGACACTACACTCCATAAGAACATTATTTTTTTTAACACTAGATCTTTTCGGTGGTAGTTATTGTTGTTTTTTTTTTCATTAATCATAGATCGTTTAATATCTACTGTATATCTTGTTTTTTTTGTTTGTCTTTCTTTCCAGTGAATTTTTTTTCATTTGTGACCTGTACCTGAAAAATAATTTTATGTTTTTAAAATAATTTTTCAATTTGGAATAATTGATATTTATTAATTTTAATTTTAATGACTACATTTAGAGAAAAGAATTCTTGATTTAAATATAGAGAATGATTTTGTTTAATTTAACACACAATTTGTATGCTTTATTTTAATATATGGAAAATATCTGTAACACATTCATTCAAAAATATTATTTCTTTAAATCAAAATTATGTTTGATTTAAACTTAAGGGTTAGTTTAGAATGGGTGCATCCACTTGAAATCGGGTAGAACGTTTGAAATATGACATAATTTTATATTTTTGACACTTGCTGCACCCTGCTTTTCTCTTATTATAGTTCCCTGCCATGTAACGAAAAAAGCTACCTCTCTTTGCAAAGTGTCACAATTTGGATGTTCCACTGATCATTTTTTTTGACAATAAAATTTTAACACGAAACGTAACCTAAAAAATTATTCGCTTATCGTTAAAAGATGATTTTAAATTAAAATTTATTCTGTGTATATTAAATTTACTGTATTTTTATCCGAAGTCCGTAATATAATACAAATAAAATAAATATTCAATGAGAAAAGCTAAATGATAATCATATTTATGAATTTGAAAAACTACACAGGCACACAAAAAATAAAAAGTTGTTTGGCCGAGACACTACACTAGTCTATTTTCATGTATTTTTTCACGCTGAATCCGAATCCGAAGTCAGAATTATCAGATTGGCTCTTATTTTTGAGATAAACTCAAAAAACTGCTCAGAAAGAAAAATAAAATCAAAAAGTTAAAAAATTTTTGAATGTCACTGCGATAGTGTAATTCCATGTATGTTTTGTCGCTGAATCCGAATCCAAAGTCAGAATTGTTAGATTCGCTCAAATTTTTGAGATAATTGAAAAAAAACACAAGTAACAAAAAACTCAAAATACTCAAAATCAGTTTTTTGGAATTATCTTCCAAATTTGAGCCAATCTGTCAATTCTGACTTCGAATTCGGATTCAGCGTGAAAAACTACATGAAAATGCACTATCGTAGTGTTTCGGCAAAAAAAATTATCTGTGCCCCTAATTCAGAATTTTTATCAGTTTTTGGCGATTTTAGCTCAAAGAAATTTTCTTTGCCGAAACACTACGATAGTGCATTTTCATGTAGTTTTTCACGCTGAATCCGAATTCGAAGTCAGAATTGACAGATTGGCTCAAATTTGGAAGATAATTCCAAAAAACTGATTTTGAGTATTTTGAGGTTTTTGTTACTTGTGTTTTTTTTCAATTATCTCAAAAATTTGAGCGAATCTAACAATTCTGACTTTGGATTCGGATTCAGCGACAAAAAATACATGGAATTACACTATCGCAGTGACATTCAAAAATTTTTTAACTTTTTGATTTTATTTTTCTTTCTGAGCAGTTTTTTGAGTTTATCTCAAAAATAAGAGCCAATCTGATAATTCTGACTTCGGATTCGGATTCAGCGTGAAAAAATACATGAAAATAGACTAGTGTAGTGTCTCGGCCAAACAACTTTTTATTTTTTGTGTGCCTGTGCTATTGGAGAATCAAATTTTGTTTTTAGCACGAAAAACGACGAAAAGTATAAACAAAGCGATCTTTCTAAATAAATACCGACGAAGTTCAAAAAGTAAAGGTATAAGTGAGATTAAAATCAAAAAGTAACAAAATTGATAATAATCGTCGATAAGTAGTAATTTTATAATTCGAAATTTTTTGTAAATTCATGCGCATATCTTAATGCATTTTTTTAGAAAATTTTGTAGGTTAGAAAATATGTTTTCTTTTATTTCTTTTTAATTTAATAAATGTAATTTAATTTTGTTGTCAAAATATTACGTTAATAAATTTCAAAAATATATTCGCAAATAAATATTAAGGAGAAAATAAGAATTAAAGTAAAATAGATTTTTTTATCATTGAATAGATAATAAATTCATTTTTCAGTAATTTTTTCTTTACACTAGAAACAATTTTGAGAATGGTAAAATTAATTTTACGAAGTGAAAAATTAAATTTCCAAAGTGCATATAAAGAAAGTTACGATTTGTCAGCAATTTTTTTGAACAAAATTTTAATTTTCGAAATCGTACATATCTGTATAATTATCAGTAGTCTCGTGGATCGATTTTCATTTAATTTGGATAATAAAGAAAATTATTTTTATAATTTTTTTATAAATTTTTCTCTTTGTGCTAACGTTAAATCGTTGGTAATTTTTGATCCTTGCTTATTTAAAATGTTATTGATTTTATTTTGTTTTATTAATTTCGATTAATTTGGTAAACATTAATTATTATAGTCTCGTTAATTTATTAAATTTAAATTTTTTGCTACCTTAGAACGTAATAGAGTCTCTTTAGTCCTTCTTATCGCCATCTTCAGGATCTTTAAGCGTATGCCATTGAGCGATAGGACGTCGCGGAGACGCTAACATATCTGACCAATGTCTAAGTTCCGTTCCGCTCGCATTATAACCAAGAACAACTTTTCCAATAGGTTCTGATGTACCAATACGATCGTAATCCACTACCGTTACCATTAATTGCACTTTCTGTAAATTAAATTCCCAAAAAAAAATTAGAATTCAAAACCAAATAATAAATAGCTTGAAGATTTTTTATTCATTTCTCCCCTCACCTGAATCTGTTCAAAGGGAACCTCGAAGGAAAAGGATTCGTTGTAATATGGATTGAGTGTGCATTTCTTTATAGATGTCTTCTTTTTCTTTAGCCTCTTTCCATTTTGCATCAATGCAATTTTCACATATGGATCAGAAAGACCACCAACGTCCATTTTCTTCAGATTTTTTGCTTCCAAAATAACCACTGTCAATTTACCAGCTGTTGGCACATAACGTAGCGAGAAACAAATGTCACCAAGTTTATTGTCCTGGAAAAATTTCAATTGTTCGTTTAAAGAATTGAAAAAATGAAATTTTTAAGTAACTAAATTACCTGTCCTCCTTCTCCTTCAACGCTCTGTAATTCCCGCCATTCTTCAATAGTTTGCGCAAGATCAATTTGACAAAGTGGAACTTTAACTTCTCCAATTTGGTCATGTTTTGAGAACCTATCGAAATCAAATATGGCAAAAACAAGCGTTTTGTTCATTGCATCAGCGTATGGCACACCCTATGAAAAAATGCCAAATTAGAAACAATTTTAATTGTTATTTTAAATAGATTATATTACCTTAAATGTAAATGTTTCATTAAACACTGGATTTAATGTTTTTCTATGGACTTTAGTCTCGAATTTCTTTTTCTTATCAGGCAGAAGATAAACTTTCACATAAGGATCAGAAGTACCTCCCATATCTAAAGCTGGTAATTCTTCAGCTTGTATTACAGTCACTGACAAACTATTCGAATTAAAATCGTATTCGAGCTGTAAAAATATTAAAATAGAAATTAAAATTGAACTGAATTAAAAAAGTAATAATGCATTTCCTAAAAATCTTACTTTGTACTGTAGTTTTCCGAGTTTCACTTCGCTTTGCTTACTTTCCGCCTCATCTGGTTCCTCTGCATTGTCCGTCAATTCTTCCATATCCGGCTGAACCTATTCATATCCGAGAGAATTCCACGAATGTAAAAAAAGAAGCGTCTAATGACTAATTTGCAAGCTTGGAATAGCGAATACATACCTTGTCTTTATAAGTGCCACCTAATAGTTGTACTGATTTTAAATCTACAGCTCCTTTAAGACCCTTTTTTCCATCCTTCGATCTTCTTTTACGACAACATCGTCGTATACAGCAAAAGCAAATTCCTATGATTATGGCTCCAACGGCTAAATAATGAAAATTAGTTTTTTAATTATTTCTAAATTATCCCAAATTGCAGACTTTCGGAAAATTAACTGTTTGCAAAAAAGTGCAGTGGTTCAACAGATATTTTTCTAATTCCTTATTTGGAATCGTTTTCAAAAACTACTATTTCATCTTTATATCCAAAGATACAAAATTTGGAAAATACTTACCGATAATTATTGCAACTAATCCCCATGTTGGAATACCCATTTCTTCAGCTATTTCTTTGGTGACATCGCTTACTTTCTCCACTGCAGTCTCAGTCGCTTTTGTTGTCGTTGGAACACTGGTACTACTTGGAGTACTGGTTATTATATCCACCACCGGATTCGGAGCTAAAACAAATTAATAATTAGAAATTTCTGTTGAAAATAAATTTAGTCTTTAATATTCGATAGCAAACTTTTGTATTGATCAAAAGTATCGGTGACAAAATATCGAATGAACAAAAGTTTTTATAATCTTCAGCAGAAATATTATTTATCAGAAATCTTATCTGACCGAATTCAGAATTAACAGAAAGTGAGTGTTGTGGGAGTTCCAATGGTCAGAATTTTCGCCTGTCCTTCTTTTTCTGCTAACGAATACATTTGTTGAGCTTTAGGGAATTATCCTGCTCCTCATGAGAGGAACTAACTTTTTTTTCACTAAATTTATATTCAGAGCTAGGAGAAATCAATCGTTAAACTACGTTTTTGTTCCTAACTAATCTCTTCCTCTCTGTAAACAATCTGCTCTTTTACTACAAAGTTACCTCTACGATTTGCTCATAATTTTCGTATATTAGTTAATCTGATCTGAAAGATAATTATAATTATCATTATAATAATCTATTAAATAGTGTTTACGCATTAAGATCATCGAGATTTTTTGTTCTACAATTTAAATGCAAAATTCTTCTTTAGTAATTCCTTCTGTTCCAAAATGACTTATTGCAAAGAACTTCCCATCACTCGATCAGTAGATAATAGAGGGTCTTTTTTCTCTTATCAAGATGACATAATTCATCATTTATCATATGATCAGTAAATTCTACGGAGAAACTGAGAAATTTTTCAAGGTATTAGAATATCTCACAGTTTTCCATTCGGACGATTTAAAACGCTGCAATTTATTAAAGGATCTATCCAAATCATCGGTTTTTGTTGTAAGTAACCTATTTTTTTTTCGCCAATGTCATACATTCACAATAGTAGATCCAATATGGCGGATGCAAAAATAAAAAATTGTTCGAATTAACATGAAACTTATGTTACTTAGGAGTTTTTGGGGCCGTTGATTATGAATTTGAAGTCAGATTTAAAAAATCCAAAATGTCGGCTGAAATATAAAGAACGGAAAATCGAAAATCGTTCTGATTTTCGCGAAACTTGTTACTCTGGGTCGCTGATTACGGATTAGAAGTCATATTTCATAAATACAAAATGGCGGATCTAAAATGGCGTTTACTCTGGGGTTTTTGTAGTCGCTGATTACGAATTTGAAATCAGAATTCAAAAATCAAAAAAGGCGGCTTCAATATGCCGAAAGAAGAATTGAAAATCGTCCGGATTTACGCAGAACTTGTTATTCGAGGGTTTTTGTGGTCGCTGATTACGAAATTAAAGTCAGATTTCAAAAATCCAAAATGTCGGCTCCAATATGGCGGACGCAATATTAAAAAAACTTTTGGATTGACATGAATTTTGTCACTCGGGGATTCTCGGGGTTGCTGATTACGAATACGAAGTCAGATTTCAAAAACCCAAAATGGCGGATCGAATATGGCAGACACAAAATCGAAAATCGTTCGTTTTGACGTGAAACTTATTAATCGGGGGTTTTCGGGGGCGCTGATTACGAATTTGAAGTCAGATTTCGAAAACAAAAAATGGCGGATTCAATATGGCGATTAAAAAACTGAAAATCGTTCAGATTGACGCGAAACTTGTTACTCTGGGTGGCTGATTACGAATTGGAAGTCATATTTCATAAATACAAAATGGCGGATCCAAAATGGCGTTTACTCTGGGGTTTTTGTAGTCGCTGATTACGAATTTGAAATCAGATTTCAAAAATCAAAAAAGGCGGCTTCAATATGCCGAACGAAGAATTTAAAATCGTCTGGATTTACGCAGAACTTGTTATTCGAGGGTTTTTGTGGTCGCTGATTACGAAATTAAAGTCAGATTTCAAAAATCCAAAATGGCGGATCCAATATGGCGGACACAAAATCGAAAATCGTTCGGTTTGACGTGAAACATGTTAATCGGGGGTTTTCGGGGGCGCTGATAACGAATTTGAAGTCAGATTTTGAAAATAAAAAATGGCGAATTCAATATGGCGGTTAAAAAAACTGAAAATCGTTCAGATTTACGCGAAACTTGTTATTTTGTTGTTTTTGTGGTCGCTGATTACGAATTAAATGTCAGATTTCAAAAATAAAAATGTCCGATCCAATATTGCAGTTAAAGTTCTTTTATATAATTTTTGTACTTTCTCACTACGTTACCTTGAACATCTTTAGTCTGAATTATCTGGTTTTTTTTTGTATTTTGTCTTTGTCCATGACAGAGAGAAATTTCTATCCATTTCAGGTAAAACTTTTTAATACTTTGTGACATTAAAATCATTTTACCAAAGACATATATACATGACTTTAGTAATTTGATAAATGTCGTCTGAATAATGGTCTGCTAAGGAATTATTGACAGTAGTATATATATATATATGAACAGATGTATAATGGTAAAAGAAAGCAAATTATATATTTATTTTTTGAATAAAACCAATTTCTTCTATAGTCACAATCTTTTTCTATAATCAATAGACTACTCTAATCAATTAAAAAAAAAAAAAAAAAAAAAAAATTAGACAATTGAGAATTTTTTTTATATCACTTCTCTTTTGGAAATAAAAGTACTTTTATAGTTTGACAATTTTAATGGCTATTAATTTATTTTATAGGTTTTGTTTTTTGTTGCAGTTATTCTTTTGGTTTCTCGCGGTAAATTTAAATATAAATTCGAAAAATATTTTAATCCACGTACAGTTTAGAATTTTTTGTTTTTTATTATGATCTTATTTTCAATTTTATAGAAAATGGTTGTATTTAGATTTTAAGTGACGAATTGAATAAAAAAAATATATTGTAAATTTTTAATATTACCTGGTAACGGTCCTTCCATTGTTCCATTAGTATTCGCTCGAAAAGAGACAGGTTTTGGTATTTCTGCAAGTGGTATTTCTGTGGCTGGAACCTCACCAGCTCTTTTTAACCTTATTACAGGCATTTTCTGAAAAAAGAAAAAAAAATCTATTAATTATTAATTATACTAACGTTTTAATGAAATCACATAGAGTCTCTGATCACGAATCAATGTCAGTTTTTAAAAATTCAAAATGGCGGATCCAATATGGACAATTTTTTTTTTTTTAATTGATCAAATTCGCTAAATACTTGTTACTTGGGACTTAAAGTCATTATTTACTAATTAAAAATTATTATTAGTATTTTTATGCAACTAAAAATAAATATATATAATATACAAATGAAAATTCAGAAAATTGATAATTTTTAATTTTAATTTATAATTTAGATAGGAAACGTGATACATAATGCAACATTTTGCCTTGATATGTAATTGTCAGCAAGCATTATTGTCTTCATCGTGTAAACTCTGTGGTCAAGTTCATGTTACGATGACCGGTTTGGAGTTAATTGACTGACCACAAAATTCGATGAGACCTAGTGACGCACTTATCACTCTGGCAATATTATTCTATTTTTATAGAATCACCATTGTCTCTTTATTAATTCACAACAATTTTTTTATATTCAATAAATAATAAAAACAATAATAATCCGTAATAATAATAACAACAAATAATAATACTAATAATAATAATAATATTTTACGTTAATTTATTTAAATTTTAGGTTATGTATCAAAAATTTTTTCGACGTTTATGCCATCAGCGCTTGTGGTAATCATAACCTAAAAACAAATTTGGCGCGAAAATTTAAAATATCTTTCTCTTACAAAGTATTTACAATTCATTTTTTTTTTAATTCTAAAGTGAAAACCCTATTTTAAAGATCATTATATACTAGTAAAAAAAATTTCTTTATCTTGCCATTTTCTGTAATTTTATAGTATTTTTTGAAATTCAAATTAAAAAAAAAAAAAAACGTAAGAGATTAAAAAAAAGGAAAAACTATAGAAACGAAGAGAATTTTCCACTTTTCCATTGTGTCCCCCTTAAAGTCTCTGACATTGACTGCAAGGTCGTATAGCGAGAGTAACCCTCGGCTGCCTGGGTTTCGATAACTTTTCCCACCTTCTAATATATCTTGATACATTCCTCTCTCCTTCCCCTCTTTCTCCTCTCTCAACCCTCCCATCAACCATCACACACACACATACAAAGCATGTTTCTTTCCTTTTTTTTGAGCTATCCACCAACTTCAACTATACACACCCTTCACCCCGCTCTTAAATCCCTCATTCTCTTACCGCCCTCACCCTTTTTGATTGTTCAAGCTGACACTCTCTCTCTCTCTCTATATATATACATTTCCTTTCCTTCCTTTTTTTCCCCTATCTCTTCGTGCAATGGTTATGAGCTATACACTCTCTTATCTTCTTACGTCACTTTTACTCCCCATATTTAATATTGGATTTTAACACACCAAATATATATATATGTATTAGACCGCATATTATAGGCAAAATGATTTCAATAATAATCTACTCATAATATTCAATATTTCATAAAATATATTTTTTATTGAATCTCATTTTTTTTCCTCCTTTTGTCGCAAAAAGAAAGCTTATTGAAAATTTTTTATAAATTTTGCTCTTATTTTATTTTATTTTTTTTTGCTTCAAATGTCAAATGTTCCTTTGGAATATAATAGTTTATAACAAAGCTTAGGAAAAAGTATTTTTGTACCTAAAAACCAATTATTCTTTTAATAATATCTTAATAACATCCCCTCATAACAAAAGGATATCCCTAGGATATCCATATATCCCTAGGATATCCATATCAATGGTCGATATCCTACCATGGTCCCCAGGATATCTTGGGATATCCCTAGGATATCCAAACCGCCGGTCTGTGGGACATCAACAGGACATCCATAGGATATCCACAGGATATCCCTAAGACATCCACAAAATATCTATTGGATATTATATCGCAGGATATCCATGGGATATCCTCAGGATGTCCGTGGGATATTCTTAGGATATTCACGGGATATTTAATATCTCAACATATATTTTTAAAGGTTAAAATTGTTAAGCTAATATAATGAATATAATAATATAATAAAAACAAAAATCTTATGAGCTTCTAATTTATTTTAAATGAAGATTTGAAACGCATTTTTCAAAGTTTTTAAATAAACTCATGCACTTAATGTATAATATTAATATTAATAGTTATTCGTTATTTGCGGGGAAGAATTTATATTTGTTTAAAGCCAATTTATTTTCTTACAATATTAAGCATATGAATAAAGGAATGAATCACGAATGAGAAAAAAATTAGTTAATAATTTTTCAAATTAAACAACTTTCTCGAAAAAACAAGTTGCATTTTATTTTATTTATATAAAATTTAATTCACAGAATATTCTCACTCGTAGCCTCATAATGACTTTAAAAACAGTATCCTGAGAATATCTTCTTGACATCCAGAAGATATACTGAGAATATCCTGAAAATATCTGTGGGATATCCTGACGATATCTATGGGATATCCTGACGATATCTATGGGATATCCTGATGATATCTGTGGGATATCTGGAGGACATTTATGAAAGTCTATAGAGATATCCAGAAGATATCTAGTGGATATCCTCAGGTATCCATGGGATATCCATGGGATATCTAATGAATATCCTCATATATCCAAGGGATATCCAATGTATATCCTCATATATCCATGGGATATCCAAAGGATATCCAAACCGCCGGTTTTTTGGATATCCTTAAGAGATCCTTTTGATATCCATAGGACATCCCTAGGATATCTGCGGGATATTATCAATATATCCCAAGATATCTTGTGTTATTAGGGGATCTTAATAATATAAAATAATAAAGATTTTTATATAATAAAATATGCAAAGATAAAATGTGTGCCAAATTTATGCTCTGCAGGTCAAAAAGTTCAAAATATAATAATAATAATAATAATAATAATAATAATAAATTTAAGGATAATTATTATATAATTATACAATATTGTGGGCAAAAATAAAATATGTTACAAATTTCTGCTCTGTAGGTCAAAAAGTTCAAAATATAATAATAATAATATTTTTTTTTACATTATTGGATAAACTTCGTTATTTTTTTCTGTTCTCAACATAAAAATTAAATTTGCTATAGACAAGAATTGAAAATTTTTTGTGAAATTATGCTTGATCAAGTGGTCAATGATCACGAATTGCAATATATCTAATGTTCGATTCTTTGTGGAGCTGAGATTTTTTTCAAAGATAAAAATATATTGTACAAATGTTAAATTAATAAATAATTTTAAAAAATGAAAATAAAAAAATTTATATATTTATTTATTTATACAAAACTTTAATCATTTGCATAAAAATTTATTTTTAGAAAAATTTATTTATATAAAAATTCGTTAGGAATAAAATATTTATTTAAAAAAAAAGAATGTCTTTTGTTTCTAATTAAAATTTCTGTAATTCAAATAAAAGAAAAATATAATTAAGCTATAACTATATAAAGGTTTAAAATTTAAAAAAAAATATAATATTTCAAAGGATTCATTATATAAAAACGAGAATTATTTTCCAATTTAAATTAAAAAAATATTTGAATTCAATTTTCTTCTTCGAGTCACATTAAATTTATTTTCTCCTATATATTACGTAATAGTGTTAAAAGAACATTTTCAATAATAATTTAAACAAGACTGATATTTTTACTCCACTTTATATATCAGAGCAACTACATTTTCACATTGTTACTAATAAAATATTGATTCAAAATTATTGGAAACAGCCCAAAGGCAAATCGAAATGAATTTACAAATCGAATCCATCGATTGAAACAATTATTATTTAATACAGTGAATAAGGCATTTTTATTAACGCGCATCGTTTCACAGCAACTATAATAAAAATTATTATTATAATTTTTTCTGAAAAAAAAAAATTTTTTTATTTTTAACGATAAAAAAATTTCTGAATAAATATAAATTAAGACAAAGTGACTATAAACTGAACTTATTGCAAACATTGTTTTTGAATGCCATTAATACTCTCCCTCCTCTTTAGAATTGAATCATTTTGACCTAGAGAGCAGAAATTTGGCACATATTTTATTTTTGCAAATCATATTATATTATATTATATTATATTATATTATATTATATTATATTATATTATATTATATTATATTATATTATATTATATTATATTATATTATATTATATTATATTATATTATATTATATTATATTATATTATATTATATTATATTATATTATATTATATTATATTATATTATATTATATTATATTATATTATATTATATTATATTATATTATATTATATTATATTATATTATATTATATTATATTATATTATATTATATTATATTATATTATATTATATTATATTATATTAATGTCCATATAAGGACACGAAATCAATAACATGTGAAGTGCGTGTTTTGTATATGTGATATTCAAAAAGGTTGTAGAGAAAAAAAAGCGATGATGGAAGAGAACGGAAAATATGAGAAAAATTTTTCCATAAAGATCGACAGCCAATTTAAATGGCTGATGACGAGAGAGGACGACGGAAGAAGAGATGGGGCTTGAAATGCTTTCAATTGCATTTTCATTGAATTAGCGCTTTTCATGGCAGATCATTCATAAACGAAATTATACTTGTTATTGCGACCTACTCAATTTCATATTGACGATTAAAATTATTATCCATTAATTTTTTTTATTATATTATTAAAATTCTGATGTCAATTATATACAACAATTAATTTCCATCTTATTTTAATATTTATTTTTTTTTATTAATATTTACTTTTTATTTAAAATTACTTTTTTTATAATTTTATAATAAATAAATAAATAATAATAATAATAAATAAATATAATAAAATTTAAAAAAAAACTATTATAACTAATAATAATAATAATATTAATAACTAAAAAGTAAATAAAAAAAACACTGTATTGACCTTTTTATTATAAAATTATTTATTATTAATGTTATTATGATTTTTAGAAATCC